TTTCCCTCAAGCCCTTTCTTTCTATTCATCTTTTCTCTTTAAAAGTTTTGTTTCCTCCTCCCTTCTCTGTTTCACATCTTTCATGTTGCAACTTGCTGTTGCTGCTTGGTATAACTTCACATTTTCCCACCGGTCATCTCCCTCTTCTTTTCATTCAAAATCCTTTAAAAAAAAAAACATTTATTCTTCAAATCCATATTGCACTGTGCCAGCCAGTATTTCCTTTTCGTGTCCTCCTGCGTTTGCACCATTGCCCAGTAATTTTTTTTTTGTATACTGTAAGCGCCAAAGAATGATTTTTTTTTTTTTTTTTGGTTAAAGCACAATGTAGGTTTATTGCACTTTATTACCAAATGGATTGGGGGAGGAAGGGGGGTCAAACCTGCAAACTTGGGAGCCTGAAGTGAGGCATTCAGGTTTGAAAATTGGGTCCTTGATTATTTAAATATTTTTTTGATTCATATTTACATATAACGATTGGCAAAGTCTTTACACTGGACTTATAAAATGTGTGCATGCTCTTTCTCTCTGATACATAGTGATCCTTTTGATCTTTGTCTTTTGTGAAAAATTCTCCTAGAAGCATAATATCTAATACAGTTTTAAAAGCTTGGTTCATAACTGTATATATATGTAAATATATACTATTTATTCCTTGTCCTTCGGGAATATGAATCTGATTAGTTAAGTTGTATGTATTTTTATTCATAGTTATTTTTATTTTATTTATGAGATGCTGCAGTTTGCCCAGTTTTTCATACACTACTTGTATTGTTCTAATGTAGGGTCTTGATATAGGGAAAGTGCCACCTACCATCCCTGGTGTAAGTAAGCAGTTGCCTCAAAACTATGGAACCTATCCAAGCTCTGTTCCATTAGGAACATGTTCTACAAATTCACTGGAAAGGCGGAAGGATGGCAGCCTACCAAGACCTGGCTCCAGTATAACAAATCGGCAAAGACCTATTCCATTACCACCATCAAGCAATATACATCAGCCTAGTTCATCACAGCAAATACAGCAGAGAATTTCTGTACCACCTAGCCCTACATATCAGCCTTCTGGTCCCTCCTTATTTCCTGGTGGAGATGGCCGGCCTGAGCTCCCTTTAACTGTAGCTATCAGGCCTTTTTTAGCTGATAAAGGATCAAGGCCTCAGTCTCCAAGAAAAGGACCACAAACAGTGAACTCCAGTTCCATCTACTCAATGTATCTTCAGCAAGCAACACCACCAAAGAACTATCAACAAGCTGTATACAATACTCTAAATAAATCAGTAAAAGCAGGTAGACTATATATATTTATTGCTTTTCCCTTTGAAATAGATTCCTATCACTTCAGACCTACTTGGTAGACTTGTTTTTGACCTGTTTGTAATAAATAATAATTTAGTTGAAATTAATATAAATATATTTCCCTTAAAAGCATTATTTTGTTGTTTGAATAACTTACCTGAATTTGGGGGGAAAGAGGAATTTTTTGTTTTTTCTTATTCAGACAGTATGGCATCACTATTTAATTTAACCCCATTTGTAGTTTTTGAGATGGGAAATAGGCATGTGCTGAGAGATGTCTTTATTTAAAATATAAACTATCTATTGGAACAGTATGGAGTGTATTAGTTATAATATGTTGTATTCAGATATTTGTACGGAGCTTGATTAAAGAAATGCAGTTTGTGGTAGGTTTTTCTCTTAAACAATCTTCCTCTTACCATTTGTTCATGATTAGTTTATAACTATCAGAAGTATCTTCATCGCTAACAGATGAGTATTGATATCCTAGTTTGATCAGCCAACAAAGTGATAAATTATGACATAACATAGCTATTGACAACTTTTCTTCTATATTGATTTATGAATAAATAGCAACGCTGACACCCAGCAGCTTATTGCATGACATCTTGTATAAATTCAGAACAGTCCCTCACTCTTTTATTTTCTCCTCTTCAGTTTATGGAAAACCTGTCTTACAGTCTGGGTCAACCTCTCCTTCGCCTTTACCATTTCTTCATGGATCTTTGCCCGCCCACACATCACAGCCACAGTCTCAGCCTCAGACCGAGTTCACTGAAAAAGATCAAGAGCTGGAAAACGTTCCACCATCAGGTGAAAATAGCAATGTGGAAAACATTCCTCGACCTCTCAGTCCTACTAAGCTTACACCTATAGTGCATTCACCCCTACGATATCAAAGTGATGCTGATCTTGAAGCTCTTAGAAGAAAATTAGCCAATGCTCCTAGGCCATTGAAGAAGCGTAGCTCAATCACTGAACCTGAAGGTCCCAGTGGACCGAATATACAGAAGTTATTGTACCAGCGCTTTAATACACTTGCGGGAGGAATAGAAAGTGCTCCTTTTTATCAACCAAGCAATCCACAGGAGCTTATAGGCAACTTGGCAGATGTTGATAATGGAAACACTAGCACCAATGGCAATATTGAAGAACCTATTTCTGTGCAACCAATAGTTGCTGTTCCTGATGAACCTCCTCCTTCATCAGATGCCAATGATAATGAATTGCCTTCTCCTGCCACTGAGGAACAGATTAGCACTGAAACCACTAACCAAACATCTGAGACAACTGAAGACAATAATAACAATCCTGCAGTAGTCCCTTCCACTGATCAGTCACCAAGTCCCATACCTGATGTCAGCTCCCCAATAGAAGATGAAGTCCCTGTGCCACCAGCTGTTCCTCCTCCACTTCCTCTAGTAAGTGATGGCAGAAGTAAAGTTGTATTATATATTATTCTTGGCCTTTGGCAATAGCCGTATGGTCAAGTACTCCTGTGGTGACTGGAAGACAAAAGGATTATGCTAAATGATATTCAAGATCATGAGAGGTTTCTGGTATCAAAGGAATAAAAGGAAAATGAACACAGCACCATAGAAAATTCCTATGAATAAGTTGACAGGAATGCTGTTTCTGTAGTAATATTGCTTTGGATGTAACTCTGGCTAGATAGTAAGGAAGGATATGCACATGTTTTGTTGGTGGTTTTGCAAGTTCAGGGTTCTGCATATCCCCTAGCTCGGGATGGGCAATAATTTCAGAAGGGGGGTGATCCCCCACCCACTGACCATAATAGGCCTGGGTGTGGGGAAGTGTGTGAAGTCTCCCCCCGCCATACCTCTGGCAGCAAGAAGAGAATTTACATGTTCCCCCTGACCTCAGGCCAATCAAGACCTGGGGGACACAGAGCTCATGAAGTCTCTCGCTCCCTGCCCCTGCACCTGCCCCTGCCCTGCAAGGGGCGCACAGCACTTAGAGTGAACCTCTAGCTGTTTAGCTGGCGGTTCACGCTAAGCACTACATGCCTCTGGAAGGGAAGGAGACTTCACATGCTCCCCCATCTCAGGCCCTGATTGACCTTGGGGTGGAGTTGCGGCAGGGAATCCGTGAGCTGAATCAACCTGCTTGGCAGGCTGGATCCAGCCCTTGGAGGCTCTCTTGCCCACCCCTGCATTAGTTGGAGAACTTTCCCTGAAATAACTCCTTGCCAAAAGCTGAATTCCAGAATCAGATTTCCATTTAAAAACATTTTTGACGTCAGGCGTTGGAAAGATTACTGTAAACATGAACCTGAGTTGAAAATGCGGCAGTGATTCTGTAAGCAGTCTGAAAAAACAGCACTGGGTGGTGTGAACTACCCATATTCCCTTCAAAATATGCCCCAAAAATAACAACATAAATGCCAACGTTGTTTATATTAGCAGAAACATCTAATGTGCTTATCCCACAATTCAAATTATCTTCCATGGCTTCCCCAGGTGCCAAGACCTCCAGCTGCCCCCCTTCCAGGTGCAAAAGCTTCCAGTTTCAGCCTGGCAGTGTCTACAACACTGTCACTATCAAAATCTGTTGAGAACATAAAATAAATTGAATTTAATATAAAATATTACTCATTAGCTGCTATGCTTGTATTTATTCACTTTCTTATAGAATACTGTGAGCACATCTACTTTTTCATTTATCTACAGCTGTCTTAGACTCCAGGGACCTTGCTGAATGATATAGATCTAACTTGACCAGAATATACAGGGCCTTGCTTGTATTCCCTATGGCAGTGATCACCAACCAGTAGGTCGGGATCTACTAGTAGATCTTGGAGCCTCTTACAGGTGATCTAACTAGTTTGGCCAAGAGGCTACCAAGTGCTGGCACTTCAGATGCCCTGTCCCTCAGTGCTGCTCATCTCCTGCCCTTTGCCTTGGAGATGCCCTCTTCCACTACGGAGCCTTCTGTGCAGGGCAGGGGAGGGAAAGGAAGGGGGCTGATGTACAGGTGCCCCTCTTCCATTCTGTATCCTTTCTTCCCAGAGCAGAGAGGGGGCACAAGAGGACATGAGATGGAGTTGGCTGGCTGTTTAGGGAGTGGGCCAGAGCCAGAGCAAGGGGTGAGCCTGCCTTAGCCCCGCAGGGGCGGCCCGTGAGCCTAGGTGAGCTAGGCAGCTGGTTCAGGCGCCCGATGATGACGTCAGGGTGCACCGGGGCACCCTGAGATGACGTCACGGCCACTGACGGCCGTGCAGGCAGGGGCGCCAATTGCACCGCCAGCTGCTGCAGCCGACCTCGGGCCACTCCTGGCCCCACTGCACCAGCCACCAGGAGCCACCAGCGGTGTCTAGCTGGTGCCCACATCCCAAACTCCTACCCCAGTCATGAACCCCCCTACTGCATCCCAAATCCTGGTCCTAGCCCTGAGCACCCCTGCATCCAAATGCCACACCAGAGCCTGCACCTAGCACCCTGCTACATACCATCTGCCTGCCCCAAGCTCAGCTCAGAGCCCATCTCACACTCCAGATCCCTTAATTCAAGTCCACAATCTTCACCCGCACCCTCTGCCCCAGCCTGATGAAAGTGAGTGAGGATAGGTAAAAGAGGGAGGATGGAGTGAGCAGGGGTGGGAAGGAGGCAGGGCAAGGGTATTTATATTTGAGGTAGATCTTGGATTGCACTTAAATTCAAAAAAGTGATCTTGTGTTCAAAAAGGTTGGAGACCCTTGCCCTATGGGAATAGGTGTAGGATATTTTGGGGAGGTGGGGGGGAAGATAATCTCCCTCCTCCTCCCCCAAATTTAAGTATAACAGTAATCTTAAAACACACGTTTCAAAATTCTATAGGCTGTAATCCACATAAGGCACAATTGCTAAAACATTTTACTGATACTTGGGAAGAATGCATCTGAGTGATATAAAATATTGTGTAACAAAACTCAGTTGAAAATGGTTCAGATTTTGTGAACATGTTTTTTTCTGAAACTGCTGGCTAGAAAAACACATAAAATAGTCAAGTTCTATGAAAACTTTCCTTCCCCACTTCAAAGAGTGTAGCAAATTATTGTCCCTCGGTCCTCACCTGTAATGTACACTCCTGCTAACTTTAAACCTGAGATTCTTCTTAGCAGAGATTGCCAGTCATGCTGAATTGTTTAATTTGTAATGAGACCAAAGTCTTGCCAGAGATTAATATGAGCCTATCAGACTGGCTCTCATTTGTGATGTCAGATGGGATTTAAAATGACAATATTCTGAAATGAAGAATGAACAAAGTATAAACCTACTGTACCTTCTACCCATTTTCTTTAAACATTAATCTTTGTTTTGTTGGAATAACTTTCAGATTTTCACTTAATAAAATTAGTACTTTTATGGCTTGATAGCTACCATTGTGATTTTGTAATGGAAATGCTGACAGATCTTAATTAGCATTTTAGGAACACACTAATGCTTGTTTGGTTAAAATGAAATGTGTTGTAATATTTATGCAACTTGGAAGGACATCTGCTTTTTCCTCCACTCAGACTAAACGTACCAACCTGAAGAAACCTAACTCTGAACGAACTGGTCATGGTTTGAGGGTAAAGTTCAACCCGTTAGCGCTCCTGCTTGATGCTTCTTTGGAGGGAGAATTTGATCTGGTACAAAGGATCATTTATGAGGTAAACTTTTCCAAATGTAACCAGTCTGTTCCACATTTTTTCAGTGAAAGAAGTGGCTTCGGCTTAAGTATTGCAATTTTTTCCCATAGGTTGATGATCCCAGCAAACCTAATGATGAAGGAATTACCCCTTTGCATAATGCAGTGTGTGCTGGCCATCACCACATTGTAAAGTTTCTGCTTGACTTTGGTGTAAATGTGAATGCAGCAGACAGTGATGGATGGTAAGCATGCTGGCATTTTTAACTTCAAAGTCCCAATTCAGTCAGTTTTCATACATGTTTTGAAAATATTTAGTGGAGAGATATATAGGGATCAGATTATTATATATTTCCCAAATTACCTATTTGTCAATGCTTAGGCTATATGTACACTAGAACTTTCAACAGTAAAATTTATGTCACTCAGAGATTTGAAAAAAACACACATGCCAATTGACATAAGTTATACTAACAGAAGTATCAGTGCGGATGACATTATGTTGGCGGGGGATGCTCACTGTTCATTGGGCATGCTTTAATTATATTGACAGGATTGCTCTCATATTAGCATGTAGTTGCTACATGGGAGATCTTACATGCCACAGCTGAATCCATACATCTGTAAGGTCTGTAGCATTAGACATAGTCTTAGTGATTGAAACACTGAAATTCATGACTTTACTAAATGTTCACCTAAGTGTGTAATGCACAGTTTCTTCCAAAAAATAAGAAAATTCTATTGTGTTTTGTTTATATTTAACTACAGGCAGTCCCTGGGTTACGTACAAGATAGGGACTGTAGTTTTGTTCTTAAGTTGAATTTGTATGTAAGTCGGAACTGGTACATATTGTAGGGGAAACTCTAGCCAAACATTTCTCCAGAGCTCAGTTTTATTCTCCCACACCTCACTTCCCTCAGTCCTTTATTCTCAAGCTTTATTCTCAGGACCCTCCTTCCAGCCGACAGCGGGGGGTGTTGGAACTGCCCAGAGGTGTCCGCGGGGCCAATGGTCCCAAAGCTGGCGGGGCGGGGTGCCTCCCCCACTGTCACTGCCTCCCGCGGCGCGGGGGGCGCTTCCCCTGCGGTGTGCGGGGCAGCGCCGGCTGAACTGCCTGTCAGGTGGCGCGTCTCGGCGGTCCCACAGCCCACGTCCTCCGCGGCAAGAAAAGCCGCTCCACGTCTCCCTGGTCTGCTGGGGGGGGGTGCAGCTAGTGCGGGATGCCTCCCCCACTGTCGCCGCCTCCGGCGGCACAGGGGGCGCTTCCCTCCAGCAGACCAGGGAGACGCGGAGCGGCTTTTCTCGCCGCGGAGGACATGGGCAGCGGGACCGCAGCACGTCTCAGCGGTCTGCTGGGGGGGGGTGCAGCTAGTGCGGGATGCCTCCCCCACTGTCGCCGCCTCCGGCGGCACAGGGGGCGCTTCCCTCCAGCAGACCAGGGAGACGCGGAGCGGCTTTTCTCGCCGCGGAGGACATGGGCAGCGGGACCGCAGCACGTCTCAGCGGTCTGCTGGGGGGGGGTGCAGCTAGTGCGGGATGCCTCCCCCACTGTCGCCGCCTCCGGCGGCACAGGGGGCGCTTCCCTCCAGCAGACCAGGGAGACGCGGAGCGGCTTTTCTCGCCGCGGAGGACATGGGCAGCGGGACCGCAGCACGTCTCAGCGGTCTGCTGGGGGGGGGAGGGGCAGCTAGTGCAGGGTTGCCTCACCCCGTTCATAAGTAGGGATCGGATGGGTTGACGTAACCCGGGGACTGCCTGTATATAGTTATAATGTCTCCCATATGTTTAATAATTTTGACTTGAAATACATAGCCTTCCCCATTTTTATCCAAACGTAGTTTTACCTTCATGGATCCTTTGTCTGTGGACTGTTATAATTTAGCAGTATTAGGGTAAACTACTTTATTAAAAATATGTGAATATATATACTTTTCTATAAGGTCTTTTTTGTATAATCAGTATTTAAAACTTTCCATTGCTTTTTTTTAAAAAGGTAAGTTTAAAAAAATGGATCCTAACATATAGTCCATAGTTCTTTGAGTGCTTGTCTCTATGTGTAATACATTTCAGGTTTGTGCATATGCAAAATGTACCCAGGACCAAAGATTTTTTCTTAGTGTCTGTTTGGTCCTGACATGCCCCCTCATTCTGCTCATGCTCCACTGGGGTTTGCCATATTACCACCATATTAATAGTTTCTTTTTACTGAGCATGGTTTAGGATAAAGTTTTAATGTTTGTGCTGACTACTTAAGCTTTCTGTAGAGATGGGTTTTAAGTTAGTCTTTAATCTGGTAGGATAGATTTCTGGGGTTTTATTTCCTAAACTTTGGTATTCCCACCCCGGTCTGTGGAGCAGTGTGATTCCTCTACTACACACCATATTCTCTATAACACTGCAGGATGAATTCTTGACCTATGTTGGGATGAGGAGTTGTGAGCAGCAGGCGTCAGTGGTAGAACTTCAGGAACATGACCTTGTGGTCACAGGCTGTGACCTCAGATGACTCTGGCCACAGCTGACCCTGGCTGCAGGGCAATAGGAGGTGACCCCGGGTCTCAGATGCAGAGCTTCAGTTGGCATTTGGCCCCAGTTCTGGTCATGCAGTGGCAGACGCTGGCTCCAGCCATGCAGCCTCGGTCCCTGGTGCTGATCCCCTGCCCCACCTGCACAGCAGCAGGCACTGACACACAGCTCTGTTCCCAGGATTGGTGGGAGCTGGCGCTGGCTGATATGTGGTCCTGGCCACACTGCTGATGACTCTTAGCTCTGGCTGTGTGGCAGAGGGCTCGGTTCCCTGGTTCTGGCCACATAGTTCCTTATCCCTAGCTCTGGGCTCTGGCCACATGGCAGCAGACACCAGACCCTGGCCATTCGACACCCCATAAATTCTGGCCCTCACTACCTCCCACATACCTGTATTCATCCCGTCCTCTTCCCCCCGCCAACCCTGCTGCCTTCCTGGACTCACATCCATTGCCTCCGGTCCCCTGCATCCAACCCACCATTGTCTCTGGCCCCTGCTGCCACCCTTTGTGGCCCCCCGTCCAAAGCTTAATGGGTCCTGGGAATTGCTGAAAAAAGTCATATTAACAAACATGTAAGTTTCATTTTTCACAGTAAGCCCCAGGACCCAATAAGCCTTGGATGGGGCAGCCAAAGTGGGAGGCAGCATTACTTTTATTATTGAATCTGCCAAAAAATCCTGCAAATATAATTACAATGATTTGGATATAAATCTGTGCATATTTAATTGTTTTTCCTAATGTTAATTAAGTATTTTAGAAAAAAGCATAATTATGACCACCGATGACAGTTAGTGGCCATACTCTGAGGCCACCAAATAATTTTGTCGAGGGAACCCCTGCTCTAGTTCTTCCAACAACAATGTGGAGAGTATGCCAAGGATCCCAAGCTTCAAAAACTACATAGCCTGCCAGAAGCTATTTCTGGTAACAAATTATCACAACACTTGCTTGGACTGCCTGCAGAAACCCATGTCTCTTCCAGGTGCAGTATCTGTTAGTTGTTTCTAAGGAGGACAAAATAGTCAAGGGAATTTTGACCCAGAAGATTCTTCATGGAGAGGTCTGTGAGAGTGATGAGAAGCTCTGACAGGGGACAGTCTGCCACCCTCCCAAAATGAAAGAACATATGAACATTCCTGACAGGCTCTGTAGCTAGTTCCAAAGCACTCCCTACCTACTTCAAAAGACCTAGGTGAGGATAGCCAAAGCAAACAGAAGGGACACAAAATCTCCCATAGCCTTTGCACTTGTCTCTCCCCATTAAGTCCTCTAAAAAGAGTCAAAAGTCTCCCTCCTGTACCAAGTCAGGAGACACCTTGAGCTCCAGATTGGAACCATCTGATACTGAGGCTTCATCAGAAATTAAGGCCACAACGCATTCCAGAACCAAGAATGGTAATTTGGCACCATCAACAGCTGCTGCATCTACACTGATGTCTCTTTGTCTCCAATGGCCTGAGTTACAGAAACTACTGTATTTTATTAAACTAGAGTCACTGTGATACTCTGGAGTCACATGTCCAGTACTGCAATATCATTCAGTACAGATATCTCTGCAGTCAAGCTAGACTGTTGTCAGTATCATAGAGGCAGGTCATCATTACCTCCTCCAGGACAAAGAGTTCTTCTGCTGAAGTTGGGATTAGAGTCAAAAGAAGAATATGGGGGACACACATCCTGGATCACTTCTCAGAGAGTGTCTTGCAAGAGTTGAGCTCAGACAAGGTATCTCTATTGTGCAGAGCGTCTCAGTACTCCTGTGCAATGAAGAACCCTCCCTATACACAGTGATATTCATCATCTTAAGGCCTTGTATTGAGAGGGTATAGATACCACAATGGCAGTATGGGGCCTGAAAGACCCAAGACATTGTCACCCCATTTATCCATGTTATGTGACAGAGGGTGGATCCTCATAGTTGTAAGGTTTCCAGGGTAGAGAAAGAGCACCGTCGGCCTTAAGTCTCAGCAGTCTGGAGGAGATGACCAACAGGAACAAGGTGCCATCATGCTGATGACCTTATCCTCTTCTCCCAACAAGGCAGTGATTCCTGCCTCCCTGCTGTAATGATTTTAAGGCATTCTAGGTCTTGGTTAAAAGGGTGACAGAACAATTGCACATTCTCCTGAAAAAGGTCCAGGAAGCCCTGTTGCATTACTAGACATTCTGCACAGCTCAGGGCTGGGTAGAGTAGTGCTCACCAAAGCCACCATCAAACCTATAAAGGTTTGGCAGACACCTGTCACAGTTCCACTACTAGTGAAGCAGGCTGAAAAGTAATTTGTACCTGGGAAAGGGTTGGAATATCTATTCTGTCATCTGCCTACCAACTCTCAGGTTGTGTCAGGGTCCCTCAAACATAGTAGGCAGAGACAGACAAGGTGTATGCCTCATGAGAAAGAAGCGAAGAGGGCCTGAGTTCTCTGAGAGATGCTTTCCTCATACGATGGGTGTGGACCCTGAGGTACACGTTTCCTCAATTTCTGTTACTAAAAGTATTGTTGAAAAATCAAACAAGACAAGGCTCACTCATGTCATTCCCATAGTGCTGGGTTAGACCCATTAATTTGGGTAGTCTGAGTTATTGCAGTTGTCAGACAAGACATTTCTCTACCCGTGACACTGCTTGATTCAGAATAGGGGGAGGACTTTCCAGCCCACCCCAGGCATCCTACATCTGAGGCAATCTGAATCAACATCAAAACTGGAAAGGGCCTGCTCAGCAGCTGTAGAAAGGATTCTACCAGGAAATGCCTCTCAATGAAGTGGAAATGGTTTATGTTCTGGTGTGACCAACAGAAAAATTCCCCCCTTGGGATCAAGTTTTCAGTATATGCTAGACTTTATTTTATCCTTAAAATCTGCAGGATTGTCTCTAACTTCCCTCTGGGTACACCTGGCAGCCATCGGTGTGTCTCACCTACCGATAGACATGTATTCTGTGTTTTCACACCCAGTCATATTTTGATTCCTGAAAGGATAGGTAACAGTTTTCCCTCCTGTGGCAAAAACCCAGAACAGCCTGGGTCTTGACCCTGGCTTTACCAACTCTAACAAAAGTAATGTTAGAGCTTCTGTCATTCTGCTTTCTACTGTACTTCTCAAGAAAGGTAGTATTTTTAGTCGCAATCGTTGGCCAAAAGAATAGGGAAATTAAGTGAGCTCATAGCAGATCTCCCTTACCCTTCCCCCCACAGTTTTCCACAAAAATAAGGTATTTATGAGACTTCATCTTATATGCATCCTTAAGTGGTCTTAGACTCTCATTAATCTGTGTTTGACTCTAAACCATACACCAATGGGAAGAGGTGATGTGACATTGCTTGTATGTGTGTAGGGCCCTAACCTTTTATCTACAGAATGAAGTCATTTAGGAAATGTAGATATTTTGTATCATTTATGGAAAGGATGAAAAGGCAGGCCATTTCTATCCAGAAGCTGTCAAAGTGGAGCTCCGGATGCATCATGTTTTGTTTCAAGCTGCACGACATACATTTTGGGAGCATATGCCACAAGAATCCAAGCAGCCTTGGTTGTCTCCCTGATACTGACACCTGCAGAGTAGCAAGTTGGGTTTCTGTACATACCATTGCAAGACATTATGCAGTGTGACAGCCCCCTTTTATAGCTTCAGAACAGAGCATGAGCAAGAACAGGGACATATTCAAGAAGCAAATTGATACTGCTAAGGAAAAGTTTTTGGTCTTGAGCACATGGGTAGTGTTTCTTTGTCCTGTAGCACTAGTGTATGTGAGATCTCAAAGAATTTGCTGTGCTGAGCTATTGTGAACCTTCTTACCTTGCCATCTACTCTCTCCCTGGCACAATCCTCTCTGCCCTGTAAAGCTAAGATACTACAGCCTTGCAAAATGTCATGAAAACTTACAATTCTTGTTAGAATCTCTTTGTTCCATTTGGCTTCAGCCTTTTCTCCTAGGTTTTTATTTAACTCTTATGTGGAGAATGTAGCTAAAGTGAAAACAATCTTCTTTTAGTGCTAACTTTTAAAGAATGACTGAACTATTTGTTGCAGGATGGATGTGTAGTCCTTAGCCCATTTTGATGATTAAATTTGGCTTTGTTTCAGGACTCCTTTGCATTGTGCAGCTTCTTGCAATAGTGTTCATCTATGTAAACTACTTGTAGAATCCGGGGCAGCAATTTTTGCTTCAACTATAAGTGATATAGAAACTGCTGCAGACAAGTGTGAGGAGATGGAGGAGGGTTATATTCAGTGTTCCCAGTTTTTGTACGGTAGGTGGAAAAGTGTGTATGCTTGATAATTCCCCTTACAAACGTTTATAACTTTCTTCAATTCAGTCTGTTTTCTCCACGCTAACTACCAAATTGCTAGTGCTGTGGCTGGCAATCTATGGGTCCCAAGTCAAATATGGCTCAGTAGAGAGTTATGCAGCTCCAGCTCAGCCCACACTTCGCTCCAATCGCACCAGAGAGCCCACGCTGGAGCTTCAGCCTTGTGGTCCCCCCCTCCCAAGATGGGAATGCCAGCACCAGCTTCTAGGGAGAGAAGAAAGAAAGCCCTGAGGCTACTCACCAGATCTGGCCTTCAGGGAAGAAGCAGCTACACACGCCGCTGCTTCCCTTTCCCCTCCCTCCCGATGAGGGAATAGCAACTCAAGGACGTCCTTCCTGAAGGCTTTCCCTGCTGCTCCCATTGGTTGAAATCTGGCCAATGGGAACAGCAGGAGGTGGTGCTGGGAGCTGTGTGAAAGAAAGCAAGTGGACCCTCTTCCTCTCATGCCCAGACCCTGTACCTCCAGCCCCCTCACTCATCCCCTTGCCGAAACCCTGCACCCCCAGCCTGCTCCTGCCTCCTCACCCCTGGCCAGACACCTCCCTCCTGGATTGACTCTGTACCCTCTCTTGCTCCTCCACCCTCCCCCTCAGTCAGACACCCTACTCTCAGCCTGCTTCTGCACTCTACCTCCCACCCTCACCCTTCTGGCACTTTACCTCCCACTCAGATCCTGCACCCCCATCACTATCCCACTCACTGGCAGCCTTGTCCCACACACTTAACCCCCTCATTTAAGTTCAGAGCCTGGGGGGCCCACAAAATCCACTAACCCTGGAACCGTTGAAGAGTTAATCTGGCCTAAGGTCTTGAATCTGTGTCCTTCCTGCCCCTTTCCCCCACCATGGGGCTGGAGCACCAGGGCAATGAGTTGTCTCAATTGGGAGCCACATTGGTAAGGATTGAGGGTTTTTTGCTTCTTACTTGTAAGGTTTCCGAATGATTTTTCTGTGGCCCCTGACCCCCCACCCCCAAAAAAAAGGTTCCCACCCCTGCCATAAATAAAGACAGTGTTGAAATCTTTTGTGTTAGACATATTTTACTTTATTTAAAAACGAAGCCCGCCCAACAAGGCCCCAGTCGGGCCCGGCCAAGGTCCCCCTTATCCTTCCTTTGTTCCAAGGGTGCCTGGTCCATCCCTCACCTCCTTGCTGCACCATGGGTAAGAGGGGAGGCCACAATTCAGCTGCAGTGATCCTGGCCCGGCCTCTTGTCCAGCCACTACTGTCCAGGTGCAGCATCCCAGCCCTGGCCAAGTAAGGTAATCAAGCCCCAGACCTCCCCTCCCCCCCCATACTCTATTTCTGACTCCCAGTGTCTGCTCCTGCCTCCTGAACCTCCCACGCAGTCCTGCCCTGAGCTCCTCATACACCCCAAACCTCACTTCTGCACACCCACATCCACAAACTACACCCCCAGCAGCAGCAGAGGTCCCATTAAATAAAGTCTGTGAGTACAGTGTTTCATTTATGCCATGATTAATCATGTCTATTATCAATAATATTAAATTGTATATTTTCAGTCATGCAAATGGGCATTCTTATATGGCTTTTTTTTGACCATTTGGTTTGAAAAGGTTGCCAACCTGATTTAATCCTTTCTTAGAGGTAGGGAACTCCTACCATCTGAGGAGATATTAATAAATCTGGGAGTTTTCATCTTGTTCATTGAAAATACTTTTTGGCTGTTTCTTAGGCCATGTCATTCTCCCCCTTCCCCCAGTCAAGTCGGCTCCCTGGTTCCCTGTGACACTGTATGTGATTTTTAAATGTCTCTTTCTTTCACAGTTCTAATGATGACAGGGTTTGAGAGTTAGAAAGTGTTGCCATGTAAATTTCACATGGAATTTTGCCAAAGATCCCAAACTTCTAGCAGATAACACCAGGAGACTGAAGATCTAAACTTATTTGACTTGCTTATGAGTAGTTATGCATCTGGTTTACTGAATTCATGAGGCAGATGACCTATAACTTTTAAGTTCAGTGCATATATCCCAAAAGAAACATCTTTCTAGAAGCAGAAATTAAATTAAGATTCTAACTTACACCAAAGAGAGTGTAAAGATATAATTAGGGTTTTAACATTCTCTTTTAGGCAGATTTGCAGTGTGAAGATATATATTGTAAATGCTGCAATAACTAAGCAAGACAAGAGAAACTCTAAACCTGTTGTTCTAGAGAGTGTGTATGAGTCTAGTATGAGCGATTTGCACCTTTGCTTCTAGTAACATAAGTTCAACAAATAGTTACACACAGGCAATGAAAAGAAAAAACATGTCGCTAATGTTCTCTGACAACTATTATGCCATATCAGTTTTATGTTTGTTAAATTCTTGGGAAAAATTAATTTTATAATGGAAATACTGACAATCTTAAATTGTGGTAGAATGAAAGTCTCTTAGCATGTCCCATTGGAGAGGACTCAAAATCCCAAATGGATAAAGTCAAAGTACTGATACCATCTGTAATGTTCTTGTTTACCTTTTATTTCCTGGCAACAGGAGTACAAGATAAGTTGGGAGTCATGAACAAAGGAGTTGTGTATGCTCTATGGGATTATGAAGCCCAGAATAATGATGAGTTGTCATTCCACGAAGGAGATGCCATTACTATTCTGAGACGCAAGGATGATAATGAAACAGATTGGTGGTGGGCTCGCCTGAACGATAAAGAAGGCTATGTACCTAAAAATCTTTTGGGGGTAAGTTACCTTAAGCTTCTTCCTTCTTCTCTCTTAAATATTGCCTGTTGTTTAACTTTTCTTTGGCAGGACACTAGGCCAGCCAACCAAAGCAGCTTTTGTCGCCACAGGCAGCGACTGCTCTGGCTGGCTGACCTGTCTGCATTCCTTCCTCTCTCCCCGCCCCACCCCGTCACAGGTTGCACGCTAGCTCCCCAGGAGCAGAGCTGACATGACAGCCTTTGCTGGCCCCACTCCCAGGAAGGTGGCTTCACTGCAGCAGCAAAGCCCACAAACTGGGAGTGGGGCCATCAGCAGCCCCTGCCGGCCCTGCTCCCAGGGAGGTGGCTTTGCTGCGGGCTCATGTAACCACTATGACTTTTAGTGGTTGCATGGTTACATTTTTAAACAAATGTGTACATCCCTAGTAAATATAGTGTGGTGCCTTTTGTGAGCAACCTTGATATTTGGCACATGAAGATATTTAAATAAATTAAGTGTAACTAGTTTGTGGCTTGGATCATTCCTGGTGGGAGTTTCAGAATGTGTTCTAGTCAGCTGCCCAGAAGCTAGATGTGGCCAAAATGCATATCAGGGCTTCTTCCTGAGAGGGAACGTCAGAGTTCTCGTGCAAGAAGCCCTGATTTTCTATAGTACGTCAGTTTACTTGCGCAAGAACGCGCGGCCAGTGTAGACAGGCAGCATGTTTTTGTGTAAGAACGTGCCAGTGTAGACACAGCCTGTGTGTGCACTGCCTTCATTCCTCCCCTCTACCTTCCTAGCAGCTCCTGTCTGCCATAGAACATCTAATTGGGGGAGAGGGCAGAAGTCACTGATTGTCAAGGCTTCTGGCAAACCCTGGTAGGAAGGGGAACAGTCAGTTAATGCCTAGCACCCACCATTTTTTTTCCTGTGAGTGCTCCAGCCCTGGAGTATCCACAGAGATGGTCCCTATGACAAGTATTTACCAAACACATCATACTATTTTACCCTTCCTTGTCTTTTTCTCTGTTTTCAGTGCTTGAATCGAGATCTGGGGAGGATATTATTCCCTTGTTCAATGTTTAGAAAGCACGATGGGTGATGCTATATACATAACAATGCTTCTATAGATTTTATGCAAGAGGTGGTGTTGCCGTTGTGGTTCCAGGAAATAGGTAGAGACAAGGTAGATGAAGTAATATCCTCTATTGGACCAACTGTTTGCGAGAGGCACAAGGCTTTTAAACCAACACAGAGCTCCTCAGGTCTTCAAAACTCGTACTCAGGAAGGTGACATCCCCCCTGTCAAGAATGTTGCAGGAATGGTGTAGAGTTTCTGGAGGAAGCTTGCTTTTTGTGTGGTTTGAGAAAATGTGTATGGAGTTCTTTATTCTGAGTGATATCTGAGCGTTCTTATATCTGTAGAATTACTACCACAAAGAGATGTCAAAAATTAGTAGAATTTAAGAGAGACATATAGATAACATGCAAATTTACATGAGGTGACTAACAGGACTGAAACAGCTTCCTTTGTGGGCAGAGGATGCTTGCAGTTTTTTATTAAAAGCATTTTTGTATTACTGTTAGAGACAGGATTCTGGGCTACATGGAACACTGGTCTGATTTAGAATGGCAATTCTTCTGTATGCAGAAGCGTGGTAAATCTAACTGTAAGGAGGTTTGAGTTGCCTATTGCTAACAGTTTCTTCTCAAATTGTTCAGACTTGCCTGTCACTTTGTAATCTGAAGAAATACATTAAATAATCTAGTGGACAAGTCAATGAAATGTCTTACCCTTTTTGCTTTATTTACAATCCACTAATGTAATCAAAGCTAGCCTTGTGGGTGGAAGTGGGTTATACATTATAGTCTTGATTTTCTAATGATCACAGCTAAAAGTTTGGTATTTTCTTTTTATTTTGCAGCTATATCCAAGAATAAAACCTAGGCAGCGAACCCTTGCTTGAATTCAGCTGTTTGGCAGTGCACTACCTTGCTGGTAACCCACACTGGAGTCATCTTTTTGTATCATTTCAACTGGAGAAATAAAATTATAATCTGATTTGTAATGGTGCTCTCTCTTGTTAATAGACAGGCAAGGGTTTAAGATTCTGCAATTTGTAAATGAAGACCATTCCGTGTAACTTATTACTGACTGGAAGAGGTACTTACAGTCTACAGTATTTTGTCAACTTTAAATACCAAAAATACTCTTATAGATGGAAGCTTATTGTGTTATGTTCACAAATGTCATTTGCAAATTGCAGATGTGCTGTCTGGTCTGGTCCCACAATAACTGTCCCATGTGTCAAGATTTTGGATTTTCTGACACCCCTGAATGTAGAGTTTACTGACTTAACACCATGTGTGCTGCAAAGCCTTTCACATGCTAAGTTCATAAGCAGTCACTAAGGCTCTATGGTTTAGAACTATTAGAACATTAGTTAATATATCTAAATCCTAGTTTAGGGCCTAGTCAATATACAGACTTAAGTCAACTTAGCTATATTGGTCAGGGCTGTGAACAATTTTCCATCCTCTGACAGGCTGACCTAACCCCTCCCGTAAATGTAGCTATTGCCTCAGAGGTAATATACCTACAGCAGTAGAAAAACCTCTTCCCTTGCTGGAGGAAGCATCATGGCAGCACATCTGCAGTGTTGTAGCTGTATCACCATAGTGTCAATACCTTTTACAAAGCCCACACAGAAGCTTTAGAGATGCTAGAATCTAGATCTTGTTTGCATTTAATGACAAGCTAAAAAAAAAATCAGAACAGTATTTGTATACTTCTCAAACCCCCTACACTAATTAACATGTTCATTTCCACAAGTTTTACCTCTTAAGTTACAGGTCCCACTAACCTGTGAACTTGTCTGTTTGGAACAAAAGAACATTTAACAGTGGATTTGCTATCAGATTTAAAGGATTTGTATGTGTGCATGGATGATAGTGCAATAGTTGAGAAGGGTAAGAGTGTACTTAACTTGTTATCAGACTAAGTAATCTGAAGTCTGAGTAGTTGAAGGACTAAATTATGGAGAGTGAGTTATGCTAATATTGAGAATCAAAGAGAGGAAGAGAAACAGGATTGAGAGAAAGATTTGAGAATGGCAATAGTTTACTATTTTGGTAAGGATTGTTTCTGTGGTTCTTGGCAGCCCTACACCTATTGCCAGGGTGAGTTATGCAATAACCTTTCCACTACATTGTTGTTTCAAGCAAAAAAGCACTTCACTGGAGTTAATTGTACATGGTTTTATATACCAGAAATATATTTTGAATTTCTTGTAAGTTGTAGCCATGTGTTTTGAATTTTTCTTCCATTAAAGTATAGGCCAGTTGGCTTTAACTCTTCAAGTGTAAGTCTTGTGTATAATTTATGGAATGCTGTAATTTGCTTTTACCACCATTTAATATTAATTGTATATATTGTGGTGATGAAAAGTGAAAGGGTATTGTTAAAGAACATTTACTACATGAGCGTGACAATTTCAAGAGCCTATGATACACTAATCCAGAGAATATGTAAATGTGCATAATAAAATACTGTTACAGCATAGCTGCATTTAAGTGTTTATTTTAAAATGTTGGACAAAGGCAAAAAAAGCACTTCACTGGAGTTAATAATTGTACATGGTTTTATATACCAGAAATATATTTTTAATTTCTTGTAAGTTGTAGCCATGTGTACTTTGCCTGCCTGCCTAACCTCCATAACGAATCCACAGTGAATGATGGTAAAACTTAGCTGTCACAATTGGGTATGCATCGTAGTAAGAGGCTCTCTTCCCTGTACCAAGAGGAAAAGGCTTAAGGTACAGCACATGCCCCAAGAAGTGCTGCTTGGTGACTAGGCAGGCCCTGTCACTTAAAAGAAAAAAAAATCACCTTAAGCTGTTAGCCTCTGTTCTTCCATAGTAAAATTTGTGGCATTGTGAATATTTGAACTTCAATCAGCAAACTCAGCTGTGTTCTTAAAACAGCTGAATACATGAAATTTTCTAGTTCATGCTATTTTGCTTCAATAAAGTGTACCATTTATACAGGAGGCACAGCACGTTTTTGGGCACTGTAAATAACCTTATTCTCTCCTCCACTCAAACCCACAAATATTGAATTTTAAGGTTGAAGGTTAAGTTTTTTAGCAAGTTAGTGAATGCTATCTTGAGTTTTGCTTATTTTCAGTAAGTATGATCATAAGATTTGTACATTAAATACTGTATATGTCCAAACAGTTACAATAGTCAGATTAATTAGCAAAAGATCATTACCACACGTAAAATGATTATAAAACTTCAAAATCATTTTCTGGAAGCTTATATTTTTCTACACAAGGATGGCTCCAAGAGGTCATGTTCATACAACTCTGTGGTATTTGGTGAAACTTATCTTTAAGTGTTTTATCACATGTTGAGAACCCAAAATGCTTACTTATATAAAAGGGTATCTAAGGCAGATTTCATTGTACACTGATCTTCAATATTTGGATAAGAAAAAAACCTGAGATCTATATCCAAAAAGCTATTCTCTGTAGAAGAGACTTACAGATACATATAATATTCATAATTGATACTACAAAAATTGTGCTATACATATTAGCTATAGTGCAGGTCATACTTTGTTTTCCATATTAAGTGCCAATAAGACTTAACAAAAATAATATACAAAGTCTTAAATATGAGGCTATATTTAAAGCATTAATTGTATACATATTGCACACTAGTTAAGTGAATACTCATGGTTCAATACTCACATTGCATTTGCCAGTGCTTACATAGTGAACCACATTTGGGAGAGAGAGGGTTCATAATACCAATTACCATGGATCAAGGTAGTTTGCAAAAAGTGAAAATCAGGTTTTCCTTAAAGCTGGTCTCTTCCCTCAGATCTCTGACAGCTTGCTGCCATTATTGGTCCCGGGATTCATAAAGTAGTTTTGCTGCCTAAGATTACAAAAATAATATATGTCATTGCAGTGTGCTATATAGGCACCTCAGTGGCAAATCAACTTAAGGCCCCTTAGTCTTCCCCAAGAAGCTACTATTAAACTAAAAGCTGTAACTTTCAAATCCCGGTCCTTCAACTGATGTACAGTTTTATTAAAAGGGACAGAGACTAAATCACACTCCATCTTAGTCTCATGGCACAACATCAATCCAAATTATAATTTAAATTTTACCATTTGAAAAATCTCAAGAATGTCACAAAAAATATCTTTCAATCATTAGAATTTTGTCAACTGCCAGATGACTGAATTTCCTTTTGAGATGACATTTGGTGAGTTGGCTAGGTAACAGCTTTCTAATCAAGTTGCTTATCTTAATGTGGACATGTACCTGTTATTTTTATTACAAGAAATATTCCTGAGGAGTAATCAACCACCTTGGCCTAGTCATTGGAAAAAAGTGTTCTCTGTTGGGGAAGGAGGGTAAAGTGTGGTTCTTTTAAACACTGAGCACAGTGGTACATAATCCTTTTTAAATGGACTTTCTACAACATGCATGATCTGACCTATTCCCATATGAAAATTCATCTCAAGACATTTTTTGTATGCTGGAGTTCACTACCATCAGAAACATTGATCTAAGTGATTACAGAAAGCTTTTACATATTAAGTTAATGCTACATGACTTAAAGATTCTTTACAAAGTCTTAGAGGATTGCCAGAAATTCTGAGCTCACTGATTTCTTGATCAAGTTTGAGATACTATACACCCTCTCTAGTACCCCCAGTTAAAACAGGATTAATAAAAGCCCAGCTCAGAGAAAATGTCTGAAGGTCAGGCCTGGAAAATAGTAGCTGACAGCCATGGTCTTCAGGAGTAATAATGTGGATTAAACAGATGTGCCTTGTGAAAAAGATGATGTCAATATAAACTGGGCTTTCTGGTACAGATATTAAAAGAATCAAACCTTTCTTGGGAGAGGACAAGATTAGACATCAGAATAGTCCCTGTGGCCTCAATTTCTAATCTGCATAATCTAGTAAATTTCACCTACGAGTTGCTGCAACAAGTCCATAACTTCTATTTGACCAAGAAAATCTCTTAAATAAAGACTGAAGTCTTTTTTAAAGTGATGGAGAACCCACCAGCACATCATTAGGATTTGTACATATAACCCTTGTCAGCATAATTTGTGTTGTTTAGGGGTATGAGTAAGTCACCTCTCCCTGCTCCCATGGATGTATATTACACTGGCCTATGCACCAGTGTGGACAGTGCTATTGCAGAAGCAGCTCTTGCAGAGGTGATTTTCTTATGTCAAATGGAATAGCTCTCATCAGTCAGCACAGAGAGCATCTTTGATAATACTATAGCACTTCTAGTGAAGACAAGCCCTTAAATAAACTGGAATAATTTACTCTCACTTAAAAGAATGCACCCTTTTCTAGTGTAGTCTAGCTTCAGTTTCCAGCCATCACATACTGCTATGCTTTTCTGTGCTAGACTAAAGAGTTCCCTCATCAATTCTTTCACTCATGTTGGCACATGATCAGAATTTAAGTCATGTCTGAAAATGGAAGGTTAAACTAAAAAGACTGAGCTTCTTTACTCTCAATGTAAAGTAAGTTTTCCAGACTTCAGACCACCCTAGCTTAAAACAATTCTTTTCAATGTTTAATTCCTTTAAAAATCCAAACAAATTGGCCTACAAGTTTAAAATATTACCTGAGACTCGCTAAAGTGTGTCAGTTCAGTAAGATAACTGCAGGTCCAAAAAAAGGTGGGGGAAAACAATCTTTGAAATGAAGTCACCTCCCTGCTTGTCCTCTTAAACCTGGGGGTGAAAGCTTTTCTAGATGACAGAGCTGACTGTTGGCTGCGCTTAGGATTCTGATGCTACTTGTGTTAGGTTCTGTCAACAACCAGTACATAGCAACTAAGGATATTACATTTAGATTAATAGGCTAATTGAACAGTTGATGCAATTTGCATTGACTAGTTGATTATTTTATAAAGGAGCCTCCCCGTGAAGTATAACAGCTCCAGGGTTGTTGCTATACTTCAAAGGCAAAAGTGATGTGAGGAGCACTGGGGCCAACACGGGACTGACTGAGTCCCCCCGCTAACCCCTTGCTTCCCGCGGTGTTTCAAAGTGGCAGTGTCTTGTGGAGCTGGGGTCAGCGGGGGAGCTGCTACTCTGAAGCCTTCTTTCCTTCCCCCCCTCCCCATCGGATAGTCGACGAGCCTTTCACATCCCTAATAGCAACCTCACTTTTATATACCCTAAATTCAGTGCTCAGAGGCAGATGCCCGCCAATTCCCACAGGACCTATACCAAGTAGTTCCTCATGTTTGAGCTCTGTTGATCGGCTGCTTCCACTTCTATCCAGTACATAGCTGTTGGTGTATAACAGGGGTGGGCAATATTTTTTGATTGGGGGTCCACTCCAAGAATATAAGTGGTCAAGGGTTGCACTTTTCTATTATGTTAATGGAGGAGTTACAGGGACTGGAGCAGAAGTTGAGCACACAAGTGGATTCTGACCTGGGAGAAGAGGGTGCAGGAGAGGATTCTGAAATGGGGGAGGGGTATACGAGTGGGACTAGGAGGGAGTTGTGATGTAGAGAAGTGTTCACTGACCCACACTTGAAAAGCAGGATGATCTAGCCTTTAATTAGTAAGGCAGTATTTTTTTAAATGCCAGTCTATAGTTTCAACTGCCATAGTTTTAGTTTTAAAGGGGAAAAAGCTACTGAACTGGTTAGCAGAGGTCAGTGACTAATCACTTGCAACTATGCCTTGTTGAACTGCTTAACTCACTTTTGACAGAAGTAGCCTCTTCTGCAGGTGCAGAAGGAATATTTTCTTTTCCGTTTATTCTAATAATTCTGTTCAATAACTAGCTCAAAGTTAAGAAATGTACCAAGAGTTAAGAACAGGAAGGTTTTCCCTCTTTCAATCCATGAATTATAAGTGAGGTGAGAGAATTTGATCTACTACTAGTTATACCTCCCTGGTCTGGCACCTTTCAGGACCTGACCAGTCCTGAATTAGGAAACAATGTTCGTCCTTCTGCTGCCAGGCTCTGCTCTGGCAGCCAAAGAGCCGTCAGCATTGACCAAACAGGGATGGTGAGGATGAGGCACTCAGAAGAGGCAGGGTAGCTGCAGGGCAAAGCCCCACAGCTGGGGACCAAGAAGCACATCAAGCCCCATGACCACCAAGCTGCACTCCCAGTCCCTGCCGCTAGCTGCTCCTTCCCCTCCCTCTCTCTATTTGTGGCACTCCAGAAGCTCTGGGAAGGTGGGGAAGGAGTTTCAGGGAAATGCTGGACCCTGTGCTCAGTGAGTGCTCCAACCCAGGAGCACCCCCGGTGATGTTGCACCACAAATGTTGCTATATGAACAGGTTGAACCTCTCTAGTCCAGAACGCTCTGTTCCAAAATGATTTTAATTAGCTGGATTAGGGATGTGAACGACTAGTTGCTCCCTCCCCCTTCGCTGCTTCTATCGGAAAAGAGGCAACAAGGAGTGGAGGGGAAGAGGATGGAGTGCTTCAAAGCAGCAGCATCAAATAGAGCCCGGGGTCTGCCACTTTGAAACACTGCGTGCAATGCCACAGGGAACAAGGGGCCAGCAGGGGACTGCTTGAGTCCCTCGCTGGCCCCATGCTCCTCGCAATGTTTTTGCCTTTCAAGTTTAGCAACTGCCCTGGGGATGTTGCTACAGTTCAAAGGCAGAGGCACCCTTATTGACTAATCAAATAGTTGATGCAAATTGCATAGCCTAGCCAATTAATCTAAATTTAATATCCCTAAGCCAGATGTCCACTTTTCATGGGTATGGCCAAGTTTCCCATGGTCTTAAAGTTTTACAGCCACCAGTCCTAACTCTGTGTACTGTGCTGTTATTTAGCTCTAATTTACCCCTAAATGTCCTCCAAAAGCCCAGGAAGCAGTGGAAGTGTTGGTAATGCTGATAGACAATATTGACCTCCCATGGTCTGGAAAATTCTCTCATTTGGAACAAATCAGGTCTCAAGGGTGCCAGACTAGACCAGAGCAGGGTGGGGAAGGAAGCCAGGCAAAGGTATTTGTGTTTGAGGTAGATCTTAATTGTAAGATCTTGAAAGACATGGTGAACAGAAAGTCTGTTCACTTATTAAATAAAAGTATTATCTGTAAGTCACTTAGTTTGTATATAAAAACTGTATTAAATTCTTTTCCTTATGTATCCAGCACATTTTCTTCCTCATGGAATGTTACCAAAATCTAGTAAATGTATCAGTCACAATTTTAACAAATGTAAAAGTTAGTAATGCTTTTTGGCACTGAAAAAAGTTCAGAAAAGGGCAACAAAAATGATTAGGTATATGGAATGGCTGCCATACAAGGAGAGATTAAAAAGACTGGGACTTTTCAGTTTATAAAAGATGAGTATGGGGAGATACTCTAGTCATGATTTTATGAACCTGTAAAAAGTGAATAAAGAACGATTTACTCCTTCCCATAACTCAACAACTAGTGCCTTTCCTGCCCCGCCCTGCCCCCCTCCCCCCAGGAAGTCAGAAATGGTGCTCCAACTTGCAGCTGTGCAACTGAGGCTTGAACTGCTGCGCAGGGGGAAGGGTTAAAAACCCACCCCGCATACTCTAGTCATGATTTTATGAACCTGTAAAAAGTGAATAAAGAACGATTTACTCCTTCCCATAACTCAACAACTAGTGCCTTTCCTGCCCCGCCCTGCCCCCCTCCCCCCAGGAAGTCAGAAATGGTGCTCCAACTTGCAGCTGTGCAACTGAGGCTTGAACTGCTGCGCAGGGGGAAGGGTTAAAAACCCACCCCGCATGCGAGTAAGAGGGGGGGGGGGAATCATGTGCCACTTGTGGCACATGTACCGGGAGTTGCCAACCCTTGGTTTATACAGGTTGAACTTCTCTGAACCAGGACTCTGGTCTAGCAACATCCATGCTCCAGAAGGACCACAGATGTTCCTGGATCAGAGAGGTCCTGGAGGAAGGCCAGCAGCAGGAACCCTGTAGGGGCTGGGAGCCCTGGCACAGCAAAAGGCTGCCAGCAGGGTTGCTGTGGCTACAAGCCCAGCTGTGGGGAGTGAGGGGGAGAAGGGAAGGGAAGCTGGCGGCCAGACTGGGAGCAGAGTGCGACTGGTGGAAGAGGTGCCAGAAATGATCTTCCCTGGTCCTGCAAATCCCTTGCTTAGGACTGATCAGGTCTGGAAGATGCCAGACTAAGAAGGTCCAACCTAGTTAGAATACACTCACAGCTAGTTGCACCAGGTTATCATGGAGCACTTGTAGGGCAACTAGTCTGTTCTGCACACAAATTATGACCAAAGTTAGGGGGACTAATTTAAAACATCTAATGCATTTTACACAAGTTACCTTATGCATAGCTACTAGCCAAGCTGCTGACAACTTCTTGTTAGAATTGAAGTCTTCGCTAGCAGTAAATTTCATCTGTGTGAGCTCCTCTGATCCTGGTACCTTATACTGCAGGAGCATACCTGTGGCACGAGTATTGCCTCCTAAAAAGGGAAAATTGAAGTCCTGAACAAGTAGTAGAACAGCAGAGTATTTAGCCACCCAAGAAATAAAAGAGGACGTTCTGTCCATTACCAACAATATAACTCATTCCCAACATGACTTAAAATATTTTAAATGTCTTACATCAACAGCTGCTGCTATTGTACGAGTTGAATCACAGTGTGTTACCACAATCAAAAGTCAAGAACGCAGATTACCACTCAGGGAAGATAGCAAGGAAAGGGAATTGTTTATGCACTGACATTTCAAGAACCCCTTTCTAGCTTGGTATTTTTCTAAGCATTAGAAGTCTTAAAATTTATGGTAGTTTACCACAAAGTATCTTGCAGTTTGCAAACAAAATTCAAGTTGTTATAAACAACGGTTATATCTGATCATTTTAATGTAAAAAGACACAGGAATTCAAGCTTATAGCACTGAAAGCTTTCTGGCATCGACCAGATACCGGTGGAGGGAAGTTGACCTCATGGTGAAAGTAAACTGTGAGGCCAAATGACTTCTGAAAGTATCAGCATATGGGGGCATGTCTGCCACAACTGAACACTTCACTCAAGAAATTGTGGGAGAGCTCACCACCGCCTTATATAATTTTATATTTTAAATCTCATTTTAGACTGTGTTGTTATTAATAGGCCGTCCAGTGAAAATCAGGAGGGAACTGAGGAGCAAACCTAGGTATCAGGTTAGCATTTAGTAGGCTATTCTAGGGTTAACTAAATAGTAGTTCACTAGAACTTTTAAAAAAATGGAATCCCTGTCAGGTTACCTCACCTGCCTGATCCAACTCTCTATTATGCATACAAAGGCCTCAATAATTTCAATGAAAAGATTATCTGCATATCATGTGGAACCCTCAGGAGTTAGTGTCCTTATGGCATATCCAAGAGGAAACCCAAGCAGAAAACATAATTTTGCACTAAGATTCTGATCACAAGCCCCACAATTCACAAGTTTCTCCATTCTTTCTGCAAAAACAGCAACTAAATTCCTCTGTCCTCTACAATTTACCTAGTTGGACCATAAAACAGAGCTAAACATTCACTCTCCTGGGACTACTGCCAATATCAGACTGTTGCAAATGTAATTGAACAACACTGATGGGATTTACCAGTAAGCAAGTTAATAGTGAATTATATGAACAATACAACACAAGACAGGAGAAAACCAAATATACAGACCAGTGTTTTCAAGATTTTCTTAAGTCACAAACCAATCCTTACACACACAATCCCCCTCACACATACCACTTGGGCATAAAATAAATATGCTCCTCCACTCAAAAGGGCAGACAATCCTTAGCTTAAGAATCAAACCATACCAAACGTAACAACTGAATATTGGTTAAAAAACTAAATTTTGGACATTTATATAATCTCATGACATGCCAATATACATACACAATACATTTCAAGTACATATACTCTATATATCCAGCTGCACAAGACAACTGTTAAGATCACATACTGAAGCAGAATAGAAAGATAATCTGTTTTGAATATGCATACTTGCCCATGTATTTGTTACCAAAAATACTTAAAGAAAATCAGCTCATTTACATGATTTCATTATGAGGACTCCAACTTGTGCTTAATTTCTATAATGATTTCAGTACAGGCTGTACCTCCCTTAACAGGGACTCCCTGGTCCAGCACAGACCACAGATGTTCCTGGACTACAGAGCCCAGGAACAGGGAGGTCTGGCGGCAGGGCAGGAGCACCATAGTGGGGGCACCACCAACTCAGCCGGGAGCCCAGTGAGTGAGTGAGTGAGTGAGGGAGGGGGGTTGGTTGGGGGTGGGGGGTGGCACAGCGGACAGCCAGGGAGCTCTGACCCCTGAGCCTCAGCTCCAGCCCTGGCTGTGGCGCTCCAGCTCCCACAGCAGTGGGGCCAGCGGCATCTAGTGAGCCTCAGGGGGCCTGGATCAGCAACCAGGGCAGGCTGGAGCCCTAACCCGATGGCAACACACCAGGAGTGGAAGGACCTCCCCCGGTTTGGCAAGTCCCCTCGTTCAGGGCCAGTCGGGTCCCAAGGGTGCTGGACCAGCAAGTTCCAACCTAAACTGGCCCAAAAGCACACTGGTTGAGGCACCAGTATTTTCCCCTTCATGAGACATAAGAGAAAAACTAAACTGTACCAGGGTAAAACTCCAACTCCAAAGTGATACTGAATTTTGGTCACTTTTTTTGTGAAGTATTAGTTTCCATTTCACTCATTTGTCGTGTTAACTATGGGTAGTTTCTGCTGTAACTGCAGTGATGCATGCTAAATATATTCTAAAATAGTTTCCAATGTCAAGTTTAGTGTTCTCTGTAACTGATGCTCCACGAGGAACAAGGGACTGCCAGAGATGAGACTGAAGATTTACGAGGTCAGTCTTGTTTCCCATTTCCACCACCTCTTACTCTATTCCTTCCAAATACCCCTTCATTCACTCATTCCCTTGCCTTATTTATTCTATAACCAACATACAACACATCCACACCTTTCCTCCTCTAACCATCCTCCCATCTTGGGCAGCAATACCTGAAGCGACCAAAGTAGTGCCCACGCATTTGTACAGCAGGAACTGAGCTATGCATGGTGCCTGTCAGCAAGAGTAATAGCCACACACATATGATTTGAGGGGACCCGTATCAAGGCAGAAGTCTCTCTCCAATAGTCAAAATGTTCCCCACTTTAGAATTTAAATTGGATAGTTTCTGTGTGTACCTATTCTTTCCAAGGACATCACACAAAATACATGTTTAAATTTAAACAGTTATAAACATACGTTGCTTCAAATTAATTTTAGTAAGAGCTATAGACAGCAAAGAGGAAGAAAGCAGCATGGAAAAGCAGCTCATAACAGCATGCTCAAGTGAATCAAGTTCACAACACTTCTGACCTTCAGTAATGTGTTGGCTCTCCAGAAGGCTGGTATAAGTGTGAATATCTTTTTCTACATCAAGGTGGTAGGCAAGCAAGTAATGAGAAGAAAAATTAATCAGAAGTGAATTAGAAAATTAATGGAGCATTAAGTTATTCTCAAAGAGCCATGTTTGGTTGATTTGAAGAGTTAGTTCAGTGGACAGAAATTACACAGTGACCACGCTAGTCCCTCATTCCACAGATAAGAGAGCTACACAGTACCTGACAATGCTATTGATGGTAAAGAATCACATGAAATTCTTGTTCATATTTTTTACTTAATGCATGCCAATACAAGGCCTGCTCCCGATAAGTATATTTTGTAGGGCTTCACCAAGTCAGTTACCCTCATTCAGATTTTAGTTAGCCACAATCAGGGTTCAGCTAAAAAGTAACACACTGCATGAGTGTTTGGTTAACCATATTCAGAACCTCTCTAGTCTGGCACCCTTGAGACCTGACTGGTTCCAAATGAGATAATTTTCCAGACCATGGGAGGTCAATATTGTCTCGCAGCATTACCAACACTTCCACTGCTTACTGGGCTCTTAAAAATATTTCGGAGCAAATTAGAGCTAAATAACTACACTGAACACAGAGCGCCAGGACTGATGGCTGTAAAACTTTATGGGACTGTGGGAAATTGGCCACACCCATGATAAGTGGACATCTGGCTAACTAAAATCATGCTGGACCACAAGTGTTGTCGGATTAGAGAGTGTCAGACCAGAGAGGATCAACCTGTACCAGGTAGATGTTGTTAGAAGTCTAATAATTTGATAGCTGGTCCCAATCTGTGCTTAGACTTTTAAGAGGTTATCTATAACATCCTCTGACACTGCCCTCCCATCAACTCCAGAGTCTGTTCCTTAGAATGCTGGTGTGAAACTAAAGCAGGCCACAGCTGGGTCAGGATATTCTTCATTCTGATGACTGAATTCCTCCCCACTGCTACCTCCACTCAGTGAAGAGTGGATCTCAATGGCTCAGGCAGTGGGATACTACAGCCCACTGTGGGCTGGTGCTAATTCCCTTCCCTTTGTAAAAGTAATGACTATCCATGTAACTGTCAGGATATTTCACAGTTACCATATTACACGATTTTTAATATCCCTAGTCCGAACACATCTACCCATGGATTATGTATAATCTAACACACTGATTACATTATGCTATATTACCAGCGTTTCTCAATCTTTAGTTATAAAGTACCCCTGAAAAAAAAAAAAGTAAGTATCCCCAGTACCTACAGTTTTCAGACACACACAGTTTTTTTCTACCTTTGCAGCACATTTGTTTAAACATTTGTAGCTGGGTGGGTGATGAAATTCTTGGGTGTAAAAAGTACAAAAATAATAAAACGCTGTAAAACTTAAAACAAAAATTCAGTTTTCTCCAAATTTCAGGTGTGTTGATGTGCCCCCCAGACTTCTCTCAAGAACCGCTAAGGGTACTTGTACCACTGGTTGAAAAACACTGTTCTATACTGTGCTCTGGGGATGAAGTACAGATGGCTTTTAAATGTACTGTTAGTAAGGGATTATTTTGATCTTTAATTTCAATGGAGTAGTACCAGATTTACATGGGTGTAACTACGAACATCTGAGCATGGGGCTGTTCTGAACTGAATGGCTATTAGGGATGTGAAAGTGTAGCTGTGTACATGGTTAACCGACAAGTTGGACTTATCCATGAACCTTCACTGTTATACCCAGATTCCTGGTATGTGGGGGGCAGTGCATATCAGAGGCAGCAGTGCGGTGGGGGGAGCAGGTGGGAGCTGATACACATAGGGAGCTGCCTCCTCCCCCTGTGCTGCTGACTCTGATACAGGGATTCACCATTCAAAGTTCTATTGGGTTACGGATCAAAAGGTCAGAAGTCAACTCTGAATTCTTGAGTTCTCTCTAAAATGCTACTGCCAGCAGCCACAACAATAGGCTTCGAACGCTGCTGCTGTACTCTGAGTGAAATGAGTTGTCAGTGCAAAAGATGCAATGTTTTATCAGGTTAAGAAAAAGCGTTGCAAATGCTTAACTTATGACAATTAGTTTAGGTTCATTGCAAGATTTACCTCCAGGAGTAAATCCCTCTGTAAGTATCTGGACAGTCGAAATCTGTGCAATTTCAATTTCATAATGGCTGTCTCCATCCAGAAACAGATATCTATACAACAGAAGAAAACACTGCTTCTTTCAAGTCTGATTCAAGAGAAACAACAGATTCTACTAACAATACCCTGACAATTTATGTAATTTGAACACAAACCTCACAGGGAGTAATTACTACAAAGTCTGAATAGAAAGCAGGAAAGATAGGGGGAAAAAAGCTTTAACAATAAAAAAAAAGACCCCCCCCCCAAAAAATAAAACAGCTTTCTGATCTTCAGATAAAAGCTATCTAGCCAGAATGCCAGATGCCTCTTGCAAAAACTTTCGCAGAGCATCCTCAAGAGGGAAAGTAATTGAGGCATTTTGAAAGAGATTATCTAACCACACTCAGCTCTGTGAAAACTGGAGCCTTATGCACGCAGTTCAGTTTTTAAAATAAAGATTTTGAAATACTTTTTTCAAATGGGTTAATTTTTTCCTCTCATGCCCTCTCAATCAGTACCCTTCCCACTACTGTTGGCAATGTTATTTATATTCCAATAGCACCTACAGGCCAAGTGGGGTCGAGAAACCACTGTACTAGGCACTATACAAACACAACAGAAGACTGCACCTACCCCAAAGTAGTAAAAAACCCCAACACACGGACAATAGGCAGTTTGTTTAAAGTTACACTACAAATGCTTTCCATTCATATTTTACAATCAACCAACCCTCTAACCTCTCCATCTCCAATAATGGAATACTCTATAAGCAGAGACATGTGGCGGGCTTAAATTGAGAAAATTGACAATTATCTGAAGGTATTTCTCCTGCCATAAAGAAACTTCCCTTCTCCCCCAGAGGAAGAGATAGGCACTCACCTGGTGCTCTTCGTGCAACATGTGCACTAGCAACCAATCACTTCCACCCCCCAATGAGGCAAGGAATGTCCTCCATTCTTCCTGCCACTTAACCCCACAACCTTGGGGTTAGCAGATCCTCCTCTCCTCCTGGAGAACTAGGAGTTGTTCTTTTACAACGAGCAGACACGCACCAGTTAACCAGGTAGGCATGCTAGTACAGGGTATGCTTACCAGGTAACCTTTACATCCCTATTCCCTGCACTTATGTGCTGCACAGATTTGCAGATTAAAAGCTCTGAAGGGGTCACGTACAATCATTTGTGTGCACACCTAATAGGTTTTGGAAGCTACTTGGATACAAATAAAAATGAGACTAGTTATGTAGACTGTACAGCAGACACTCATTTCTAATCAAAAACCAAATGGCAGATAGTCATAGACTGTTGCTATCTGCCTAACCAGATTCAAATTAATGACTTACATGCAAAGTGTTTCCTAAGATTCCATCATCAATGTCTGTAACCTCCAAGTTTTAGGGTATGTCTACACTGCAAAATAAATAAAAATCCCAACACATGGACACAACTGCAACACAAAGTCTCAACGCCCAGCTCAATAGGTCTAAAAAAAATAGCACTATAGGCATTTCCACTCCTGCTGGAGCCTGGTTGAAATTTGGCCAAGGTGTTGATCTCCAGGATCCAGCTAAAGCAAGAACATCTACACTGCTATTTTTAACCTTGTAGCATAAACCAGCTGACCCAGGCTCACATTCACTGCCATGGGTCTTTTTTGCAAGGCAGACATACGTGTAGTGTAAATTTTTGCTGTAATCAGCAAGGTTTAATTAGCAAAAAAACACCAATTAATCTGATGATGCAACATATAAAAATAAGCCCAAAAGGGCTTACTCTCTGCTCATATCATGTATCCACTTGCTGATTCTCAAAACATTTTAGCGCACATAAGCCAGCTAGAGTGCTGTACAGGCAACATAAAAGTCATCATGAAGGGCAGCGGTGGATAGATTAAATAGTTAGCCAGATTTAACTAGTGCAGTTTCCCTCCACATTTCTCACCTCTGGTTGTTGGAAAGTCGACAAACCATTATCTCAGATTTTTCTGATGTTCCCCGAGCAACTGCGAATGTAGCACCTTAGGAAAAAAACCCAAGTATTTATTCAGTTATTCAAATGCTTAATTTAAGCAGCAAAATTAGCGTATCAAAACTGTATACACTTAATGCACCCATCCGAATGGCTTGAACACTAAGCAACATTGTATACTCCTCAAATCACTCGTATAAGTCTTAAGTCTTGTCCTGAGAACCAGGTTAAGAGTCCACTGTCACCATCAGCAACAAAATGGTACAGTGATCAGTTAATATTTCTTCTTCAATGTGTGTAAATTAATGTATGTTTACATGATTTAAGCACCTCAAACCAAGAGACAAAGGATAGTAACAAATGATTGTGCGATTGCAAAAAGTCCAGTGCAGTTGCAGGAAGCAGATTATTGTAACTACTAAAAATATTATAGAAACTTTTAGAAAAAAGTGTACAAAATATATATATTTTATTGGCAAGTAGCCATTAGGGATGTCAAATGTGTTTAAGTAAGTAAATATGTAACTGTTTAATATTAAAGTGGTTACACAGTTACACGCGGGGTGGCAGGTGGCTCCCTGGGCTGGTGTGTGCAGGGGGCTGGCTTTTAAGCCTGTTCCCTACATGCACCAACTCCCTGTAGGAGCTGGCAGGCTCAATTCTGGCATGAACCCTACCCCCACACTTCCGCTCTGCATTTTACACACACACACAGACACACCTCTCTCCCCCCCCGGCAGCCAGTGCATGTAGGGAGCATGTCAGTTATAATGCAAAGCCGCAGTGGGAGCAGCCTGGGAGTTGGGGTACCTGACGAGACCCAGTGCATGCTAGGACTGAGCCAGCCTGCCTGCCAGCTCCAAATTTATTTGCAGAGTTGCAGCCATGTGTGTGTCTGGGGGGAGAACACAATGTTACTGGTTAACTGTAAACAAATAAGCATTTGCTTATTGGTCAACCAGTTACACTCCTTCCTATGCTCAAGGAACTTTAGAACATCTCATGATGACTGCATTCTCATTAGAGGTGTGCTCTTGCCCACCTATCGAAAATACTTTTAAATTCACATTCAGCACCCCTTGAAAGGCATTTTCCCAACTATAAAGTCAAGGGACATTTTAAAAAATAAGACATCAGATTCTTCATTTTTAAAAACGGTACTCAGGGGTCCAGTTATAGTTCATACTGCTCTTTAAGTCTATTCTAATTGACAGTTCAGTGACAATAACAGCCACCTACGCAGCCTAGAAAGGAAGATAGAAGCTGAAATGAAAGTATGTACTCTCTCATAAGATAACTTCAAAATAATTTTTTTTGTGGCTACGAGTTTTGGATTCCTATTTTGTGTACAGGAATGTGATTTTTAAAAATGCAGTGCTACAAGATTTATTACTATGCCCTCATTCTTTTATATATATCATATCCAAAAGGGAGATTTGGCTGGATAACAAAATAAACAGGCAAAAAAGAAAAATTTGCAGTGGAAAAGTATTCCCAAGATTTCTAGAGACTGAAACATAATACCTTACTTGACAAAACAAAGGAATTAGTTTGGCTATTTATGCTCTTTGTTTGCCACTTGAATAACTATCTACAAGATCAAAACAACAGTTGTGCATGTAGTTTAGTACTTACCATTCATAAGCACTTTAAGCTGCTTGTCATAAAACTCTGTTTCCTTCTGAGAGATGAGAGCACATTCAGCACACTGGCGCACAGGATCTACAAAGCACATACGAGGCAGAGGCACTTTTTTACTGCAGCACTTGTCACAAAAGCACTTCCCACATCTCCGGCAGTGGTGCTAAGCAAAAGCATATTATTACAAAAGATGCAATTAATAAGAGAGCTGATAGCTAAATCTAATATTATTTCTTTGTGTATTTTTAGTATTGCCTGCTCACCTAGTTTCTTTTAGGCATTAGTGCTTCTGGCATTAGTTCTTGATGTGGTAAAGCTAATTAAGTGTCACATGATTCTAGAGACAGTGAGATGTTCTAAAATGACATTTCTGGAACAGTCTAGCATGAGCTATAGTTGTGCAAGCTTCTCCAGACACCTGAGCACCATGCTTTAAGCCTGACCAGAGTGAACACTAAGGGTAAAAAGGAGTCTCCATGGCCCATTAAATCCTTAGCCTCACAAGAACACTAAGGGTAAAAAGGAGTCTCCATGGCCCTTAGCCTCACAGTCAACAAGACTGCAAGATATAATGGTGGTTTGCATATCCTCATCAGAGATTCCACTGAGCATCCTCAGCCTACACCTCTCCCTCCAAATATTTAATTCCATGTTTAACAGTGACAGGAACAATACCAAGTTTTATAAACACAACTCCTCTGATCTCAGTGTGGCTCCACCCTTTTTAAGGGCAATGATGCCCTCAAGCAGTGTTGAAAGGAGCATTTTGAGACCCTAGCAAACCATGAATCTAGCATCTCAGCTGCCACAAGCAAGTCTACTCCTCAACATTCAGCAATACAATCTTTTGCTGACACCTCCCCACTCCCACCCCTGAGGAAGTTTGACATGCCACTCAGACTAAAAACAACAAGGTGCCAGGCTAAAATGGCATGCCTGTGGAAGTCTTCAAAGCAACTGGAATAGCACTTGTGCAAAAACTTACATCTCTCAGCAAATAATATGACCACAAACCATTATTTCCTCTGGAAAGTGACAGGCACAATGTTTATTCCTAATCTGGGATTGCAGAGGAAATTAAAAGTACATAGTAAAACTCCCCATGGGAGATGGAGCAACCGACTTATGAATTAAAGTTTCAACCAGTGATGTGAATAAATGACCGCGTGAGTTTCTGAATATTTATTTGATTAGGAAGCAAAAACTTAAAAACTACCAATCACCATCTCCAATATACTCATACTCCTCACTGTCCATAGTTATCACTCTAATACTTTTAGGAATCCTGAAAAATACCAGTATCCCCTATTTAATCAGATTTATTTTTTAATACTTTTACACCATATCTGTTGGATTTTACATTCCAAATAACCAACTACAAAACAACTGTTTTAACTCATGATAGATCTTATGGACATCCTTATTTTCCAGAGTATGCTCCATAAAGGTCTGTATAATTAAGTAGTTATGCAAGGAATGTTATTCATAGCTAGAATGATTGTTTGTCCTGCTGACTTTTGCACAAGCTTTCTAAAGTGATTTAGCCTCCCCTCAGCAAGGATAAACTCCAATTCTCAGCAATATGTTCTGTCTTCTCTGACAGCAGATTTCAGTAAGATACCACCTTCTCTATGCTTCTTGATAGTAAAAATTCAACATCATAAAATTAAAATTCTTCTATGTGAAGGTATCTGCCCAGTGCAACCCACCTCAATGTCAACGAATTGCCGTTCATAATTCAACACAGTTTACTTACTGAAAACACATTGCCAACATCTTCACCCATTATTTGTTTTGCACATTTTTTCCAGCTAGTTTATCATTTTCAAGCTCTCCCTAGAATCCAAAACTTGAAAAAAGTTCTTAGCACTTGACCCTTTCACTCACATAACCAATTTTATTTAATTCTGAGTGTACTGAAATGAACATATTTATTATTTACTTGCCAGCATCACAGACAACAGCATATTTTGAACAGTGTTACATATATGCTGCCTCAAACCCAGCAAAAATATCCAAAGTATTTTAATCCTAAAAATAGTCATTTATTTTAAAATTTCACAACAGAGTAACTGATTAGAATAGTGAAGACCTATTTCAGGGGGAGTAGGAGAGTGAGAGAGAAGCTAATTTTCAAGGCATGTCAAATCTGGGGTGCAAGTATCCTTGTAAATATTTTTAACAGTATCCTTTTGAAGGAGAGGTTTCAACACATTTCAAAACAGGATTTCAAAAAAGTTTCACAATGTAATGTATTTAGGCTATTACATTTTGTTTCTCTCTTACCTTTCTGGTTATGAAATCAAACTTAGTTTCACACTGCATACATCTTGGACACTAGAAGACAGTAAAGTATACAAGATTTATGTACATCTTTATCCAGATACAATGCACAAGATTAAACATATTAGGGCAGAAAACTAAAACAGCTCTAATGAATTCCCATGCAGTATCTAGATAATGCACTCGCATTTATTTTAATCTTTTGAACATTTATTTGGTAGGCAGGTACCATCCACCTTTTACAAACAAGGAAGAGCAAAAAATCCCTAATTCGCCCTAAGTACAAAGTAAATCAGTGATAATCATGAGCACACCTCAGGAGTGCCGCTCTTGTGCTTAATACAAATATGGCATGCAAGAGTAACAAAACAAGCCCATGGATTATCTTCCACACCCACCCACCCATACCAAGTCAACTAGCCATTTTTATCATCAACATTTTAACACATAAGTATTGCTAATTTATGCATTTAAATAACATTGTCATTAATATAACTGAAAAATAGCATTTTAACATGGAAGTTCTCTTCCACCCCCCCCAAAAAATCAAGGTTAAATGCATATCTGCAAAATTTTACTTGCTTGTTTAGTGTTTTTCCCCCTAAAAAAAGCTTGATTAAAGAATTTCTCTCCCCCCCCCCTCTCTCTATATTTTTTCCCCTGTAGGATGACAGTGATGTCATCTGCAGCCTCATGACATCGCTGCCCACCTCCATCCTCAGCTGTTTGCTGTGGCCAGCCTTGCCACCATCCCTTCTGGCCATGGACTTCTTTATGCCGGGGGGTACAGGCTGTGCTGCTGGGGGCAGGTGTGCATGTCCCCTCAGCTATCTGAGCCTGACTCCTCGCTCTGCCGGCCACCCAGTGGTCCTGCCTCCATCTGAGCCCACCTCCCCAGGCCGAGCCAAGTCCCCTCCGCCATCTGAGCCTGCCCCTGCCCTCTCTGCCATCTGAGCCACCCCCCCCCTCCAAGACCTCACCCCTTCCACTGAGGCTCCACACCAGGAGCTCGCTCCTGCCTCCTTCCCCTGGCCAGACACCTACCCCCAGAGAGAGGGTGGTTGGTGAGCGTAGCGAGCAGGGAGGCACAGTCCTCTAGTATGCATCTATACAAAAGTCACTTTATTTTTCCCCTCATTAAACATTTGATAAGAGCCAGCTGTTCTGGGTTTGTTTGTTTAAACAGGGAACAGCATTTTCAGAGATTAACTTTATTCAGTAAGTATAAGATGTAGATGTATTTAACTCCTTACTTTGTAAACGCAGATGTATATTTTCTAAGCAGATACTAACAAAATGTCACCCGCTTAAGCACTTTTTTACATCACTGGCATCTTGTGAGACCCTCTTATTTCAGTTCACAATATAATACCAGACACTGTAACTGTAATTTAATGCAACTAGGTTTATTTGGAAGGCTATTAATGTAAAGCTGTGTCTGACGTCTGAAACGGTTGGTAATATGATCAAGTTCTGAGTTAAAGACTGTAAGCTCTTTAGGCAAGATCCCATCTTCATTTTAAGTTTGTGCCATCTCTAGCACAATGGGGCTCCAATCCCGGACTGAGGCCCTTAGACACCAGTGCAATACATATAAATGTATCTAAAACCGAAAGGACAATTTAATGGGTTTGGAGAAGCAGGGGCAAATGGGGGAAGGGGAAAGAGAATACTGCACAGTTAGTAGTATTGTCCTTCAGGTGATATATACTGAGGTGATATATTAAGCAGAGGCCTCTTTTGCCTCCAGTGACCCTTCAGGTGTAAGAGCTCATGCTACATTTTGAAAATTGTAGGATTAAAAAACACTCACTTGAGACCACCTTGCAACAAGATACAGAACTTGAAATAAAGTCTAATGTTCAAGGTTGAGAATGAATTAAGTGCCAAGCACAAGAGAGTTACTACTGTTACCATGCTCCCACTATTAAACTCCTTACTTTGTAAAGTTCTTTAGCATAACTAGAACATTCATGGTCTATTTCAGAAATTCTAGGTATTTTAGCAGCTTCCAGATCAGTATCAAAGTTCAAAAGCAAACATTACCCAAGAAATGCGATATCAGATAATTTACAAACCTCAAACTCCTAGGCCACCTACTTTTAACTACAGTCTGATGTATTCAATCACTTATAAAATGTAGCAAGTTCAAGTACCTGCACTTAATCTGCAACTAGCCAGTTCCAATTAAAGAGATTGCTCAAATGGTCAAATTTTGAAAAATCAGTACAAGAACCATTAAGTTTCTAAAGCTTCCTTAAAATCAGAATGATTAGAAGTATTCTCAAAAATGGCTTTCAAAAGGTGTACTAAATATCAAAGCCCAGTCGTAATAGCTACAAAAATGCACATTTATCTTCACCAAATTAGTTCAACGCACTAAGCTCTTGAATTCTATTGCCACAGCTTATACAGCACAAATTTAATCACACATTTTAATTAGCAGGGCTCGACAAATCCACTTATCTACTCGCCCATGGGCAAATAGATTTCAGCTGGTCGCCCCGTTCACTGGCGGTGCACGCATGCACAGTGCGGGTCTGGGCATGCGCAGTGCGGGTTTGGTGAGTGGGTTTTTGCCACGGTCGTTGAGCCCTGTTAATTAACAATGTCAGGTGTAAATTATAGTTACTTCCCTGATGCTTTCCCCTCAGTACAGAGCTTTTAAAAGCAGAAAAGTAGGAAAGTGGAATTTAAAGCATTGAAAAATACCACAGAAGAGGGATGTTATTACAGAAATTACACTGAGCAGTATGGCTTAGTAGAAATGGTACTGCAGTGGGACTCATGAGACCTAAACTGGCTTCCTGGTTAAAAATAGGAAAATCACTTGCCTTCCCCATACTTCAGTTTCTTTACCTATAAAAAGTAGTGAACGTGGAACGTGAAGTAGCCTCTGCCCATAACAAGCCTGGGCCCACTGCCGGCAGAGGCTGCTGTGTGACAGCCTCTCCTGCCCTCTTCTCCGCGCTGCTGCCTCTAATCGAGGCACCAGCACTGGGTGGGGCGGGGGAGGAAGAGTGTCCTGCTGAGACACTGCTGGGAGGGGACCAGCTTTTAAGCTAGCTCTCCCCCCCCCTTGCTGCCTCTGAGGGAGGGAAATGTGAGTAGTCGACTACTTGTGTATAAAGGTGACAATGACACTGAACTTCTTTAAACCACTCTGAGGTCAATAGATGAAAAATGTCATAAGATCTAGATATGACTGTATTATGCTAACTAAACAGCTTGGATGAATAGCACAGCCTATTCTCCAGTAAAAAAAACAAAACTGTATATCCTTTATTTCACAGTCACAACCTCTTTTTTTTAAAGCCTCCTTGCCATCATGAGAATGTCTGATATTAGTGAGCAGCCTCTGGCCTTAAACATTACAGACTATGTTTGCTTTAGTATTTTCCTTTCAAGTTAAGTATCATTGACATGCAACAACATATAGTACTTTTGAGATATCTAGCTTTGGTCACTTATTAAAAAAAGGAGCCTGACGGGTGCTCATGTAATTGATAGTTATTTCTGTTATCCCCAGATGTGCCTGCATAATGAAATACATTAAGAATTCATCAAATTAATCCTATTGCTTCTAGTTCTATATTTTGTTGACAGAGAGGGAAGAATGAAGTTTAACTACGTTTTGGAGAAAGTCTTGTAGAAACAGTTTAAAAAAATTGTATGCTCTGAAGCTATTCTTGGATATCTGAAAGAAAAATAAACAGAATCACAAACAGGACAAAAGAGGTTTCTAGTTAACAAAAACCTTTTTTTTTTGTTTTAATATTGCATCAATACATTCACAAACATATACTATAACTATGCTTCAAGCACAACAGTTATTGATCCACAAAAAACTGGAGTTATGTGCTCCAGAGTGTTTACTTAACAGTACAGGGATAAAGCTTATTTCCCTGAAAAAAACAAGGGTAAGTCAATATAAATAAAATGCAGCTGCTTTCACTAATTCAGCTAAATGCCACAAAAAGTTATAAAACAAAATCAACGTTTTCATCTTCATAACACAGTAGTAGAAAAAATACCTTTTAACTATGCATTTTAGAAATGGTCTGTCCTTTTGTTTAAGAACTCTTAAAACATAAGAGCTAGGACTACCACATTTGGTATGCAGCTTGCTCTTACAACTTAAAGCAGCGGTGGGCAATAATTTTAAAGGGGGGGAGGCACTCGAAGTTTTTGGTAAGTGATCAAGGGCCACACTTCTATGGAGGGAGTGTAGCATCTAGGATGGCAGTTGGGATGTAGAAGGAAGCTTGGGATAGGAGACTGGGGTGCAGGGTTGGAGAGGGACTTTGAGTTAAGGATGGGATTATGATCTGGGGCAAAGGCTTGCAGTTCAGGGTGCAGGAAGCGGTATGGTTGCAGGAGAGGATTCTGGCCTGGGGGAGGGGGTGTAGAAGGAACTGCACGGTCTGGGATGGAGCAGTGACCTGGAGGTGGTGAGGAGAGGGGATACTGGGGCAGGAAGTTGGGAGAAGAGAAAAGGTGAGGTGACAGAGGCAGGCTCTGTCTGGGAGATGCCTACTTAGGCAGTTTCCAGCCAGCAACTCTGCAGAAACCTGATACGGGCTCCATGCCCGTCTGCTCCACGTGGCTCTGCTCCAGCACGGGGAAAGGGGAGTCTTCATTTGCTGCCCTGCTGCCAGCAAAATTTCTCAGCGCCTATTGACTGGAAACTGGTCAATGGGAGCTAAGGGATTTTGCTAGGGGGTGGGGACAGCACAAAAAGCCTCCCAGTCCCTCCCCAGCATGCAGAGCATGGAGAGACAGCCATTAAAGCAGCAGCTGCTGTGTAGTAAGGGTTTTGACGAGGTGGCTGCAGGCTGGATCTGGTGGGCTGCATCCTGCCCGCTAGCCGCCTCTTGCCCAATCCAACTTAAAGCAAGGTAAGGGTTTGGTTGTACCAAGACAAGGGGATGTGAACAGAATTTGACTTTCTCATAAAATGGAAACGAAGGGTCTGGTAAGAGGGACAGTTATACTGTAGAATGACCATGGGGGGAGGGGGAGAGCCTGCAAAGGGCTAGAGATGGGTACATGGACAGCTATAATCCCATTGGGCCAGCAGGGGGCACAGATGGAGAAAGGACAGCTATCTACTATATATTTCAGAGAGTTTGTCAGTCTGCGCGTCTGTCCTCCAGCCGGGGAACATGCACTCCTCCCCTGGCTGTGCTTGCTGCAGCTGCCTTGGCCACAAACAGGCACTTCTCACCTGGCCCCAAGCTGCTGCTGTGAGAGAGGGCTCAGGTTGTCCTCTCTCCCCGGGGCATTCTTGCATACATATACCCCATAAAACAATGGTAAAAGAGGATACTATAAAACACTAATTACACTAAACTAATTACTCTTATTATGTGCATGATGTATCAAGCTACTAAGTAATATTTATCAACAAACGAAAAACAAGTGGATGCATTTTGCTGACAGCTTTTTACCTCATTTTGACATCTTATCATGGCTGGGTATTCTACTAAACCAGAGAGCTGCCCACTATCTACTTATTCTAGACAGGCATTTCTACTAATCTATGTTAAATAAATACATCTATAACCCTTTTCTCTCTCCAAATAAGCTTTTGCTTACTAAGATTAAGGACAAGAGGCCACAATTTTAGAAGTTAATGCATTTAAAAATAAAACTAAGAATAAAAAGTATTTCGAGAGCATAGGGCTGCTTACTTCACAGCATTTTAATCTGGTAAAGACCCTCATTTACTTTTGTGATGGAATCTCTCATACAAAATGATCCTGGAAAATAATTCTCCCTATCCTTTTTATAGTCAGCGTTTAAAACCAGAAGGTACCACTACCAAATCATATGGTCTGACCACCCGTATATCACAGGCCACCAATATCACCTGCACACTAAACCGAACAGCCAAAATTTGACCAAAGTAAACAGCCCACAGGAGACTAAACTATTAAGTTCCACAGGAAAAAAATAGGAGGATGCTGAGGTATACTAATGCCTGAGGCCTCTGCAATAGCAGAGAAATGATTAAGTGAGGTAAACCCAGATAATCCTGACAAGTGACCAGTGCTGCAGAGGACCATAAAAATTCCCAAGGTCATTGCCAGTCCATGATATAAGGTGACATACAGTGCATTGTTTATACCAGAAAGGAAATAAACACTATAAACAGCCAATCAAATGAGATATATCTGCTGGCTTGTCAGTTTTTAAACATGATCTAAGCCACATTTACAGCACATTACTCTCGAGATAAACATAGCAGAAAGAGCAGTGAACTGCAACAGCGGCAAAAAGGGACTCTACCCCCTTACTCCTTAACTGTTAAATCAACTCAATAGAACCGTCTTCTTAGCCATTCCTCCAGCGATTGAGGAGATGACAGGGCTTTCTGAATGGGCTTTTGCCTGCAATTACTTTGCCTCTGCAGGTCTTAAAAGGGTAGCCATGTTAGCCTGTATCCAAAAGAACAAGCAATCTTGTGGCACATTAAAGACTAACAGATTTAACTGGGCATAAGCTTTCGTGGGCAAAGACCCACTTTGTCAGATGTATGGAGTGGAAATTAGAGGCAGGCATAAACATACTAGGCCAATTTAGTTAGGGTGGTGTGGTCCTCATCAACTGTTGGGAACGGGGGTGTGAATACCAAGAAAGGGAAAGTTGCTTTTGTAGCGCGCCAACCATTCCAAGTCCCTATTCATACTAATAGTGTCAAATTAATTGCAGCTCTGCAGTTTCTCTTTAAAGTCAGTTTGACTATTTTTCTTGGAGGATGGCCACTTTTAAATTTCTTACTGAGCATCCAGGAAGGCTGAATTGCTCTCCTATTAGTTTTTCTATATTACCATTCTTGATATCTGATTTGTGCTCCTTTATTCTTTTGCACAGAGATCATCCGATTTGGTCAATTGGCATGGCAGCGGGAATAGCTGGCACATTATAGCATTTATCACATTAGATGGGCAGGTGAATGAGCCTCTGAGAGTGTAGCTGATGTGGATAGGTTAGGTCCTAATGGGTGCTGCCTGAGTAGCTACATGGGCAGAGTTGGCGTTCCCCCCTGCAGCAGCACTCGCAGTCCAGCTCCTTTCTCCCCTCAGACACTTCATAAGAATGGCCAGACTGGGTCAGATCAAAGGGCCATCTAGCCTAGTGTCCTGTCTGTCCACAGTGGCCAATGCTAGATGCCCCAGAGGAAGGGAATACAACAGGTAATCCCTCTCCTGTCATCCATTTACACAGAAACAGAGGCTAGAGACACCATCCCTACCCATCTTGGCTAATAGCCATTGATGGACCTAACCTCCAAGAATCTATGTAGCTCTTTTTTTAACCCTGTTAAAGTCCTAGTTTTCACAACATCCTCTGGCAAGGAGTTCCACAGGTTGACTGCGCAGCATGAAGAAAAACTTCCTTTTGTTTGTTTTAAACCTGCCGCCTATTAATCTCATTTGTTGACCCTAAGTTCTTATATTATGGGAACAAGTAAATAACTTTTCCTTATTCACTTCTTCCACATGTCATGATTTTATAGACCTCATCATATTCCCCCTTATTCTCCTCTTTTCTAAACTGAAAAGTCCCAGTCGCTTTAACCTCTCCTCATATGGGACCCATTCCAAACCCCTAATCATTTTAGTTGCCCTTTTCTGAACCCTTTCCAAGGCCAAAATATCTTTTTTGAGGTGAGGAGACCACATCTGTACACAGTACTCAAGATGTGGGCGTACCATAGTTTTATACAGGGGCAGTAATATAGTCTGTGTCTTATTTTCTATCCCTTTCTTAATAATTCCTAACATTCTATTTGCCTTTTTGACCAACCCAGCACAGTGTGGATGTTTTCAGAGAACAATCCACAATAACTCCAAGATCTCTTTCCTGATTTGTCGTAGCCAAATTAGCCCCTATCATACTGTATGTATAGTTGGGGTTATTTTTTCCAACGTGCATTACTTTACACTTATCCACATTTAATTTCATTTGCCATTTTGTTGCCCATTTAGTTTTGTGAGATCTTTTTGAAGTTCTTCACAGTCTGCTTCTGTCTTGACTACCTTAAACAGTATCATCCGCAAACTTTTCTACCTCACTGCTTGCCCCTTTCTCTAGATCAATGGGGTTGGTTCCTGTGTTAGTGTTTCTGTGGTATGTAGCTGCTCGTATTTGTTTCAGGTTTGGTGGCTGTCTGTGAGCACTGACCTGCCTCCGAAGGTCTGTGGGAGTGAGGGATTATTTTCCAGGATAGCTGTAGATTACTGATGACATGGAGAAGTTTTAATTTGGGTCTGTACATGATGTCCAGTAGTGTTCTGTTATTTTCCTTGTTGGGCTTGACCAGTAGTAGGTGACTTCTGGGTACCCATCCGGTTCCGTTAATCGGTTTCCTTATTTCCCCAGGTAAGAATTGTAGTTCTATAAATGCTTGAGAAAGATCTTGTACGTGTCTGCTTATGTCTGAGGGACTGGAGCAAATGTGACTGTATCTTAGGACCTGGCTGTAGACAATGGATCATGGGATGTACCCTAGAAGTTGGAGGCATGTAAGTACAGCAATCAGTAGGTTTCCAGTACAGGGTGATGTTTATGTGTCTATCACTTATTTGCACTGTAGTATCCAGGAAGTAGAACTCTTGTGTGGAATGGTCCAGGCTGATGTTGATGGTTGAGTAGAAATTGAAGAATTCCACGGGGATTCCTTTCAGTGGGTCCATAGGATGATGATGTCATCAATGTTGTTTAAGTAGAGGAGTGCTAGGGGACAAGAACTGAATTGGACTAGTTAGTAATGGCCCTTCACTTGATAACTCCCTTCTTTTCATGTGCTAGCATATTTATGTCTGCCTCTGTAATTTCCACTCCATGTCTCTGACAAAAGGTATGGCTAAACTGTGGGGAGTTTTCAGGAAAACTCTGCCGCATCTAGGGAACGTGTTTGCTCTTCTGCTTTTTTTTTTTGCACTCTTTCGGAAGCCCCTCTATCCCTCGTTCTAGGAGGAAGAAGGGGGCTTTTGAAAGAGGACCTTTTCCCGACTTTTGGCCCAGTTAAATGGACCAAATGTCGGAAAAGCCTCTTCTGACAAAAGTGTTGGAAAAAACTTATGCAAAATGCACAGCATATTTTGCGTAGCCTTTTCCAACAAAAAGATGTAGAACAGACGTATCCAAAGTGGGTCTTTATCCACAAAAGCTGATGTCCAAATAAATCTGTTAGTCTTTAGGTACCACAAGATTCCTCATTCTTTTTGCCTCTGCAGAAAGGGTATTTATACTTCAGGCAAATATGGGAACCATATTAACAAGTAGTATTAAGATAGGAATGATAAAATAAGGTTGGGAGAAAATACCCCTAACAACAAATATCCTTCTACCCCAGGCCAGTGAGGCTGGTTTGCTGGGCACTATAGAACAGGGAGAGAAAGAAGCCAAGGTGGAACGGAAGGCTCCTTGGCACACGGGACTACAACTATATAATCACCTTCAGGGAAGGGGCTCTGCACAGCCCAGCACCAGGGGAAAGACTGAGCTCCACCGCAATGAAGCGGCCCGAAGGACGGTCAGGGCTTTGGGGTCCCCGCTGGCGCCTTAGAAAGGATTTCACCTCAGGAGTATCGCGATAAGGGAAGTCAGAGTCCAGGCTGTTCACGGGAAGGGGCGACAAGGGGCTCGCCCAGGCGGGCCGGGGGGGTGACAGGCAAGGAGGACGCACAGGTGGGGGTTGGTGGCGAAGAGTGGCTCCAACGGCGGGTCCGGGGAAACGGGGGGAGGGGGGGCGGAAGCCGGGGAGGGCCCCGCTGGCGGGGGAGGAGCGCCAGGGCGGAAAGACGGGGTGTCCCGCTGGCGGGGTAGGAGGATCCACCCTCCCCCACTTACGTCCTTGTCAGGCACCCACGGCGGCTCGTCCAGGCCAAAAGGGCTGCGGGCGGCGCGGTGCTCGGGCACCATGCGGAGCCCGCTGGACGAGCGAACCAGCTTCTTTCCATCGCGAGCCTCCCCACCCGACATCTTCCCTACAGCGCCACCGCTACCAGCCCACCCGAGTGACGAACAGCGGCGCCAACCAACCCCCTATTACTCTCCCTGCTGCGTACGCGTCTCTCTGCCAATGGAAGTCTCCAGCTGGTGTCCCGCCCAGCAATACGTACACCCAATGAAATGTGGCCTCCACATACTCTCAGCCAATCCTCTATCGCGAACTGTATCGCTCAGTGGAGGCGCATGCGCAGCTTGAAATACCAGCAAACCCGCCTCACTCGCACCCAGGTTTCTGTGCCCGGGTAAATCCTGTAACCAATGAGAGAATTCCGAGTGTCCGAAGGGCGGAACTAAGGGGTGGTACCTCTGGAAGGCCCCGATTCCGAGCGCTCTGATTAGCCGGGACTCCTATACCGTTCCGAATAGACTCACTGGGATTGGTTTGCCCCAGAACCCATCTGATTGGATGATGCCCCAAAAGGGCTTTTCTGACCGCCTCTCTGATTGGTGTGTGTTTTGCGCGGGTTCAGACAAACCGTCCGCGAATCCGCGCACGTCTATAACTCCTAGGTCGCTAATACCGTTTGCCTGATTGGGCATGCTGCCCTCTGATTGGCTGGCAAGCGGCGGAGATCCACGGCTAGAGAGGTTGACCGCGTGGCCGTGCGAAGCCTCAGGTAAGTCTCTCTCTGATTGGCTAGCGCCCGAGTTGTCGGCTGGGTTTAATTTACTGCTGCAAAGACACAGGAGCGCAGTTCCCTTGGTAGGCAGAGGGCGGGTGCGCACCCCAGGCTCGCAAGAGCGTTTGGAGGATAATGGGTGGGGCTGTCAAAATCAGGCTCCGTTCTGGGGGCTTGGGAATGGCCGTTGTACCTTCCCCGCTATGCACGGGCTGAGGCGGGGCGGGGGAGACACTTGACAGTGGTCTCTCCAAAGGACTTGTGCCCTGAGGGCGGTAGGACTCTCCCAGGCACCTGCTGCTGCACAGAAAACAAGCTCCCAGCGCTGTAGCTCCTGGGGTGGCCACACTGGCAAGGTGCTGAGTGCGCACTGACTCTGCAGTTGCTGAGCTCCAGGTAAACCCCTTGCTTGTTGCAGTTCTGACTAGCCTCTGGAAATGGCTCATAATCCCTCCAGTCCCCTCTGCGCCTTGTTTGGAACTAAGGATGTTAAATATTGGTTAATTTACTACTCAGGTCCTGGATGGAATTTCCATCAGCTACTCAACTAGTCAATAGGCACTTCCTTTGAAATGTACAAGGGGAGAAATTGGAACTCCATGTGCAGCCCAGGGCCAGTGGGAAGTCATGGGCATGCCACATGGGTGTGCCAGCTTTTGAAATGTACAAGGACTCCTTGCTGCACTGCCACTTTGAAATGCCACGGCATTTCCCTAGAACCCAATTTACCATGGGTTCCTCCTGGCATTGCCCCAGAACCCAGGATCAGGTGACAGTGGAAATGCCATGTGAAGCCTGGGATCAGCTGTGCAGCGCTGCCCCTTTGAAACTCCTCCTCGGCATTTCTAAGCAGCAGTGCTGCACAGCTGAGCTCAGGGTCAGGTACAGGCTCCTTGCCCTGCTGCCGCTTTGAAGTACTCCCTTCCTACCGCCGTTTGCTGCCTCTATCTGATAGCAGTAGCAAGGGGGGCAGGAATTGACTAGTCAACTTGACTGTCCGATAAGCATTTACTTTTACTTATTGGATAGTTGACTAGTCCTTAACATCCTTATTTGGAACTTGGCTGCCTTGCAGGCATTCACATACTCCTTTCAGAGCTCTGTTTCCGACAGCTTGCGTGCTGTGCTGATTTGCTCTGCGATACAGTGCAAATTAACAGCTCGGGCAATCCCTATGAATGAACACCGAGGCAGGTGTTTCTGTGGTGATGGGAAGGGCGGGCTGAGATGTTGGGGGGGCTCCCTGCCTCATGGGGGGGGTTGTTTCCTGCTGCTGTCTGAACTTACAAGACAGAATGCTGACATCCCCCAATGCACATTGTCTCTCTCTCTGCCCCATACTCACATACACTCTCGTCACACCCTTCCCCCCAATTTCTGTTGAAAAGCAGCTTTCAATGTAGCAGGATGGCCATGGAGCAATGGTGTTGGGAAAGCTGAATCTTGTTATACTGACTGCCTCATACGGAATTCCAAACCCTTCCCAAAGCACCTTGTAAGCAGTTGCATAGTGGGATAGTTACCATAATGCACTGCTCTCTGTGATGTTGCTCTCTGGTGTTGCAAGAACTGTTAATGCGGCTATGCTCCACCAGCACAAGAACAGCGTAGACACAAAACAGCAGTTTACCTGCTGTCCTCTCTGAGCAGCATTATAACTACCAGCACTGTACATCTGCCTGTGTAGATATACCCCCAGTGTTGTGAAAGCCCCAGTAAAACTATTGGGCAGGAGCGGGCAATACTATTTTCCTGCCTGCGTGGTGAGGGGAGCCAGACTTTCCTTAGCACGAGCGTGGGGTTGGTAGGTCTAAGTCTCACCTGCGGCTTGGTACTTTCTGCAGCTGGGGCTGTGGGGCATCTCACCCTGCTGGGATGCAGTGTTTCTCCCCCCCCTGCAATTGGGGTGTAGTGGGGTCCACTCAGGTTAAGGGATGTGAACGTTTAACTCTGTAAATGGCTAACCAATAAGGCTGGGCATATCAGTTAACGTTCATGGTTACACACAGGCTCCTGCCCTACTCCTGGGGAGCCAACTACCACCCTGTGCTACTGCCTCTGTATCAGAGACAGCAGAATTGGGGTGGCAGCTAGCCCCCCGGGAGGCAGTGCATGCTGGGGGCCGGCTTTTAAGGCTTCTTGTGCATACTGGCTCCTGACAGCCAACTGCCGCCCTGCATGTAACAGTTAATAAATTAAATGCATTTTAACATCCCTATTCTGGTGTAGTACCGTGGTAGCTGATCGAGGGCTAAGCATCACCACCACTTCCCCAGATAGAGAGCTGTCCTGTGTGGCAGTCACCCCTGAAGTGGGCTTTTCTTAGAAGCATCTAAGACAGCCCCGCTTCCCTGGAGTCTTATGGGAAAGGTGCAGGGGGGTTAGTTTATTACATTTGTGAAGTGCTTTGGAGCCTTTTCAGTCCAAAGGCACTAAGACCATCCTGAATTATATTAATCTTAGTCCTTGAGACAAGTATTTGTCATAAGTTAAATGGGTCTTAATTTTTAATTAAATTATTTTTAAATCACTGACTTTATAAATCCTGATTTCAGGACCCATTTCCATACATTATGCATATGTACACAAGTAATTGGACCCTTGTTTTTAAAAAGTAGATAGTTTAACTGGGGAACTAAGTCTTATAAATATATTTTATAGGTGTTTTCCATTTCCGTTAAGGTTACACGCCATCTCCCTGGGAGCAGGATCAGAAACTGCTGCCAGCCCTGAAATCAGGCAGCTAGTCTTGCTGAAGGCTCTGCCATTTAAAAGTTATACGGCAGAGCCTGCAGCAAATGTAACCATTAGGATTTTTAGCAGCTACATGTTCACATTTTTACCTGACTTCTAACATCCCTAGTTGCCACTACATTGCACAATCCATTACATTCTGTAACTAGTAACAAGCCTTATAGCACTATTTTGTTATATAGTGGTAGCACATGACTCCGCTTTTCTTTTTTAGATCAAAGTTTCAAAATTGGATTGCATTATCGTAGGATATTTAGTTTTTAGTAAACCAAAGTAGTTCTGAGTATCAGAAATATAAATAGTCCTGGAATATTTTATATTACATTTGTATGATTTTTATTTCTCTTTAAAAATGAAAAGGTAGGGAGGTGAGTGGCAGGGTGGAAGTGATTTTTGTGTGTGTCTGGGATAAGATCTTGTGTGCCAAGTCTCAAACCAGAGCAAATGTTCTATATCTCAGCTACAGGCAATTGAAATGATTGCCAACCATTCCATAGACCAGTGTTACTGTAATCTGTCTCCACTATTGTTTAGCCAGAGAGCCATCAAAGGAGAATTTCCATCATCTGAATGGCTAATTATATTCTGAGAGATAAATTACAAACAAATATCTTGTTAGGGTTTAATAACAGTATTTGTCCATTTTTCCACAAAGTTGGTCAAATGAAATAAATACTTAGATTCTGTGTTTCATGTATTCTTCATAAGACTTCAGCTGACAGTGCGGTATCAAGACATGGATTGGGACCAGTTTGACATGAACCCCAAAGTGATAGCTGCTGTTAAGAAAGGTAATTTAATCCACCTGTATGTATATTCCTGATTTGCTAATACCATAGTATCTACCTGTACATAATCATATCCATGCTGGATATGTAATTGAAATACTCGGGGGACAGTGCATATTTGCCAGTGATACCTTCTTCTCCTAATGATCCAAACAGTGTTATAATCTGCTTTTGATAAACCCCAAGGCTACGTCTAGACTGGCATGGTTTTCCGGAAATGCTTTTAACGGAAAAGTTTTCCGTTAAAAGCATTTTCGGAACAGAGCGTCTAGATTGGCACGGACGCTTTTCTGCAAAAGCACTTTTTGCGGAAAAGCGCCCGTGCAAATCTAGACACGCTTTTCTGCAAAAAAGCCCCGATCGCCATTTTTGCGATCAGGGCTTTTTTCCGAAAACAAATCTGGGCTGTCTGCACTGGCCCTTTTGCGCAAAAGGACTTTTGCCCGAACGGGAGCAGCATAGTATTTCCGCAAGAACACTGACAATCTTACATGAGATCGTCAGTGCTTTTGCGGAAATTCAAGCAGCCAGTGTAGACAGCTGGCAAGTTTTTCCGGAAAAGTGGCTGATTTTCTGGAAAAACTGGCCAGTCTAGACACAGCCCAAGTGGGTGCTGCCTGCCACATCAAAAGTTGGCAAAAGTAGTTTCCTGACCTACAAGCAATCAAGAAGTAGTTGAAATACTGGAGTTCTGTTAGGCAAGAAATGAATGGACAGAGTCAGGCTATTCTTTTCTATTCTAGTCAATTGTATTTGCAATGTGCTCATAGTTTCTGTTGTTGCCTTCTTCAAGAAGTTAAAAACCAAAAGCAC